AGATGATCTCAATAAAAGATTGAAATGTTGGCATGATAAAGAAAATGTTTTTCTGAAACCTGCGTCACACCAGACCGCATCTCACGATCTCCAAATAATCATTAACTAGAGGTCAATAAACACCACACACTAACACACCCACACACCTTACATAAAGATTAATTAATTGAAAGTTTTTATGTAAGGTTTTGGTTGAAATGAAAAAGTTAGTGTCACGAGTGGGATTCGAACCAACGACCTTCGGCTCGGTGTTCGGTGGGTTCGAAGTGAATTTATACAATGCTAGAAATCTTAGACTCAATCAAAGTATTTGTACTCACTCAAAGTGTTAGTTTTCTGTGTATGTATATGTAAGGTATTGGTTGAAATGAAAAAGTGTCACGAGCGGGATTCGAACACACGACCTTCGCCTTCAAATCCCGCTCGTGACACTAGCTTTTTCATTTCAACCAAAACCTTACATAAAAATATTAATTATAATATATTGTAATATATTAATTGGTCAAGCGGACCACGAAATTAGTGAACTTACATACAATAAAAAGATTAGTTAATCGAAAAACGTAATTTGGTCAATCAGACCACTAAATATAATGTATTTTAATAAGTTTAACGTATAAATTAAGAAAGTATAAAATATTACGTAAAATACTCTAATCCAAGTCCAAGAAAATATTCAGCGTGATTGATTAGAAAATGCCAAATATTTACGGTTTTGTCCTTTTGCCAACTCACAACCCCAAAATTATCTTTTAACCTTAGATCGTTTCCCTTAAAACGTGCCAGTTTGAATTTCATCTTTTGAACATGTTTTATTTAAGCATACAGACAAAATTCGAGAAGAGCCCATGCCAACTTTTCGAGATTTACAGTGAGATAAAACGAGGTTCGAACAATTATACAACGTGTTGGAAAATCTTCCACCTAGGGGGAAAATTATTATGGGTTTATGTATCTTCGAATCTTTTAAGCCCTTATCTCCCACCTCTCGTTAGTTAAAATTTACCCGTGTCGCACACTTTTTCACCATTCCGATAGGTACACGTCCTGACCGATATCTGAAGAAGAATCTCAGTCAGGTCTTTTTTCACTCCTTCCAAACCCTAAGCCTCGGCTGTTTTACAACGTACGATAAATTCTCAATGATGCCTTGAATAAGAAATCCACTCGGTTTGCGAAAGCCCTTATTGGAATATTCAACCTGAGAAAAAGTGACAGCGAAACGGACTTTATTTGTCATTTAAATGTTACGTAAATACTAACGAGGACTGCAGGAATAGAAATAGTCTGATATGACTTGTCATCAAAAAACACTGAACGATAACACTTGTTATCTAATCAAAATCTGATAATTATAATAGATAATTGTATAGATTTTGTAAGTTTTCATTCTTCTTAAAGCTTAAGCCTCAAAGAAGTTGAAGTCTATATTAGGGACAAATATTTAGGCAGAAACGTCTTCCATTGGACGAACGAAGCCGATGAAATTGTAGGGAATGTTTAAAAGCCCAGTTTTCTTTGCGCGTACACGCCTTTGTTTGCCAATTTATCACCCTAACCGGTTCTCCTTTTTACTCTCTGCCTTCAGCCGTTTTAAAAACTAACTGAGCTTCGATTGTTTTGAAGTTATAGAAGAAAGTCGGTGCTGACATGTGCATCATTCAGCAAACTATTGGGTTGTCCGGAAAATAATGCAGGATTTTAAGTTTTCATTAAAAAAAATCTATATAAAATATTCTGTTTACGTTTACAGGATTACTCATTTGTATGNTATTTTGATTAAAGAACATTGCTTTAAAGTAACTAGTTTCTTTTTTTTTGTTTAATACCAAAATCCTGCATTATTTTCCGGACAACCCAATAATAAATAGCCAGACAACCTGTACTTTCAGGATTCATAACTCGTCGACCCCTGGACAATTAAAAACGTACAAATCCAGTTCAAAGTTGTCAATGAGTATGACATACTTAACTTATCTACGTACACGTCCATTGAAGATAATGATCAAGTTGAAGTCTCTACAATTTATATATAAGAATAAAGAAGACTTTTGTTCAATAATTTACACATTTATTGCATTAAAACATAGTCCAAAAACAACAAAAAAGAAAATTTTCTATCAAATTGAACAATTGCGAAAAAACCTCCAGTATATATTATAATCTCATGTACTCTTCATATGTATGACATACTTTCTCCTCTTTAAATAATCAATTTTTTTCCCTCGAATATAAAATAAGTATGTACAATCAATGAGTTTAAACTAAATGAAAAGTGGTATACGAAGGATGTGGACATAAATAACACAATTGTTTGAAATTGTCCGCCCTGATTAGGATGTGGACGTCGGATGTCCAGCATACCCGTCGCCCTTATCATTCTCAAAATTGACATCGTTTGTAAACGCTGACAGGAATCAATGGTCACGTCGTAAAATCCATTGAAGACGCTGACGACGAAGACAATTGTGATAGGGCATGGACAATTTGGGTTCACTAGATCCTCAGTTTATTCGATTGGATTGTTTATGTTTATCGTATTGGTTTGTTATTTCAATATTGTAATAAGGCATTGGAACACAAAATATATTGCAATTGGACTAACCCTTTTCGATGGTGGTAAGAGGGGAAATGACTGAGTCAAATGAGAGACCAAGATTAGAGAGGAAATATTTCAAAAAAGTTAGACTGAAAAATTAAATTTAAAAAAAAAACGATACAACAAATTAGCAAAATTTATGTGACGTTCAAGGAAAGATGAGGTGGTTAGAAAGAGGCCAAAAGTGAAGCAGACAGGCAAATGCATGCATGTATAAAGAGACAGAAAGAAGTTTTAATATGGGAACATATACTATAGGTTATTGTAGAAAATAGGTAGAGGGAACATCAGTTTTTGGTGAGAGAGATAATGGAATATAAAAAGGATAAAGATGGTAAGGGAAAGAGTGTGGTGAAGAGAGAAAGTAGATGAACGTAGAGATGAAATATGGTAATTGAGAGATGGGTTAGAAAGAACCAGAAGAAGATAAGTTAGAACCAAATGCTATTAGAAAGATAAAATCTTTAATGCAGAGCTGACTGTATTCAGAAAGAGATAGAATGATATGTATGAGATAGATAGATAGAGAAAGAGAGAAAGAAGGGGAGAGATGCAGAGAAAGAAAGGAAAAGAGAATGGGAGTGATTATGTGTGAGTGATAGAGAGAGAAAGAGAGAATTGAGAGGTGTGAGAGAGAGAGTGTGTGTGGGAGAGAAAGAGAGAGAGAGAAAAAGAAAGAGAGAGAGAAAGAGAGAGAGAGAGAGAAGGTGACAGAGAGAATGATAAAGAAAGATAGAGGGACAGAGCGAAAGAAAAAGAGAGGGAGGGAGGGATGGAGGGAGAGAGAGAGAGAAAGAAAGGAAGAAAGAGAGAGTGAGAAGAGGGAGAGTTGGAAGGAGTGAGGAAGAAAGAGAGATATATAAATAGAAAGAGTGAGACAGAAAGGAAGAAAGAGAGAAAAAGGTACAATATAGGTAGATAGGTACATATATAGATAATTAGATGGATAGATAGATGATAGATAGATAAAGAAATAGAGAAAGAGAGAGATTGAGAAAGAGAAACAGAGAAAGAGTGAGGAAGAAAGCAAGGAAGAAAGAGAGAGAGATGGATAATGTGAGAGTGAGAGGCAGAGATAGAGAGAGAGACAAAGACTGAGAGAAATAAAGATAGTCAAGGGAGTTAATTCAGAGAAAAAGTGAAAAAATTGGAAAAGTGAGGACAGAAAACCGGGCGAGAAGAACGAATGTATAGACAATGTACAAAAAGGGAAAATATATGGAGAATAGAATATGGAGTGCTCGGAGTGAAGAGAAGATAAAAGAAGGAAAACATAAAACGCGTGTTCATATAAATTGTCACCGAGGTTAACTTGCTTTCATAATGCATTTTGAACAACCGTGGTCTTTTTTTTTGCCAAAGTCTGGATGATAAAAACTTAATTATATATTTATTGTTGTGTGACTATTTTTTACAATTTGTAACAATAAGATATTTTTTATTTTTTTAATTTATTTATTTTTTTTTTTAGGAAAACTCGAGTAGAATTGTATTTACAAAAATTAACAGAGTTGTATTCTATTGTTAAACCTATCTAAATTTTGTTAAAATTATAAAATAAAACGTCCAAAGTAAATTGAGAGACTCTTTGTTTTCCTCCAATAAAAACAGTTTCAATTGTTAATCGTTCAATACGAGCAACAGGTTTTCAAAGTTACAAAGTAGGAAAAAAAGTGCGACAAACAAGAATACATCTCGAACTAAACATACATCGTGTAATAAGGAATACCGGAGACAGGTTAGACAACTAATTCAGATCGAGAGGGACACCACTCTCCAGGCTTGCCATTGACCTTTTAAGTAAACATTTGGGATGTAAATAGAGATCAAAATAAAATAAATGCTACGACAAGAAATGGCCATTAACCGTAATATGCGCATTTTCATCCTGATGACAAAGCGAAATGAATCTAAGATTTAAATGTCAGCTAAATTTTACACAATGCAATTCTTACTTTTTCAACGTCAATAAAATTGATTGTTTTGGTGATGAACATGTGTAAAATGAAAATGAAAGATAAATTTGAACAATTGGAATCTAATGATTGATTCATTTTTTTCTTGTGTGGTTTAGTTGAGTCGTCTGAATGGCTTGATCTTTAGTGTGAAATTTGTTCTCTTAATTATCAGTATTTATGATAAAAAATATAAAACTACAGGGGAAAGCTAAGAATAGTTTTTTTTATGGCACACGTATGCCATAAATGTTATGCTCAGAGATTTAAATTAAAATTCACATGTTTTGATGAATTTTGTGTTATGTCATCGACGGTGAGCCTATTGTCACGTGTTTGCGGGATAAGATCTGTAATTCCGATTTATTTCTCAGTACGCGGCCGATCAAAATTTTCAAAGTGACAATGCAATGCAGGACTTAATGATAAAAATCCTTGGAACATACCTTTCAAAGAATTGTGAACTGCTTGCGGAGTGATGCACATGTCGTTGTCCAATGGGAATTTCTCGCAGTCGAACATATCCGGCCACGGGAAGCCGTAATTTTTCATCCGCCCTTCACAACCTTTTTTGACGGTCTCACACAGGCTCCTGCAAGGGTAGATCAGCCTGTCGAGGCACACAGGGCTGAACAGAGAGCAGAGGAACAACTGCGAGTCCATATGACACTGGACGTTAAGAAGCGGCAACCAGGAAGACGCCTGTTGAGTCACTTCTGCCATGGTATCGTGCTCCAGCAGGTTGGGCAGCCTCATCTTCTGGTAGCCAATGCCGTAGCATAACGTCATGTTGCGAGGTATCTGGACGCATGTAGGTGGTTGGACCAAAATGTTCCATTCTTCGCACAACACGGTCCCCACTATGACCAGTTGTACGAGGCGTAGGCGCATCGTGCCTCAACCACCGCTCTTGACTTACTAAGCCCACAACACGCCTTCTCCAGCTCCCCTCCCTAACGACTAGTCATTATATATATATATATNGTATAATACATATAATATATGTGTATGTATATATATTATATTTAACTCAATAGTACCATATATTCAGCCTGTCTGGGATTAGTGTTCGGCCTACGCGCCTGCGACATTCAAACTGACTCAATTGCTCATTTAACCACAAAATTTTTCAGATTTTTTTAAAGAGGCGCTTTATATTATTTACTTGTATTCCCATGTAAGTCTAAGTATGCCACATTGTGAAAGAAAACTTCACTTATCGACGAACGAATATCAAATTTCCTTTCCAATGGCCTTGATCACTTTTTTTTTAAACTTTGGATAAAAGAGACTTCTGCTTCTAAATACGATTTACATATTAATGCTATTTATATTCAAGAGTCGAAACGGGATTTAAATGTTCTTCCTTTTTTCTACCCTACTTATCTTGCGGTCGCATAATGGCAACTTGAATCCTATCAGGCAGAGTAGAAGAAATTAGATTTTATAAATTTAATTGAAAATGCATTCCTTGGGCTTTTTTACCGTGGAATTCGATCCTCGAAGCCGCCGACACAGCAGTGTTTTATCCTGCTGCATTTTTCTTATAATTTGCGACAGTGAATTTTAACATTCAACCATTTCCTAACCCTTTAACTCAATTATTTTATATTGTTTCTCCTATCGTTACATCAAGTTGGAGTGTACTATTTTACTTACAGATTTCTGTCGTTAAAAGGGATTTTATTTATTAATCTTTCACTCTCTCATTGTCACTCACTCGCTCATTCACTTTTCATCTCACCACTCAATCACTTACTCCCTCTCTCATTCCCTCTCTCTAATCTATCTTTCTATCTGCCTATTTATCTATCTCACTCACTATCTATCAAAAATCTCCCTCTCCTTCCCTCTCTCTCATATATCTTTCTATCCCCACCTCTATATATTATCTATATCTGTCTTCTATTTAGCCGTTTTTTTTCTTCCTCACTCACACACTCATTCGCTCACTCACATACTTTTAAATAAATTATACTCATTCATTCATTTTCTCTCACTTTCTCTCTCTCTCTCTCTCTCTCTCTTTCTCTTTTTCTTTCTCTCTGTCTCTCTCTCTCTCTTTCTCTCTCTCTCTCTCTCTCTACCTCTATCTCTGTCTATCTATCTCTCTCTCTTTCTCTCACTTCTTCTCTATCACTAACTTTCTACGTTTCTGTCTGTCTGTTCCTCACACACTCACTCACACTCTCTCTCTCTCTCTCTCTCTCTCTCTCTCTCTCTCTCTCTCTCAATCTCAATCTTCTCTCCTACACACACACACACACACACCACATCACATCCCCCCCACACACACACATTTTTTATATTAAACAGATTATCCTCTCATTTGATGTGATTTTAAAACTGATTTGAATTACTTTACGCCATCATCAAGCATAATAAAACGTAAACAGGAAATACATTGTTTGTTTTAACAGGAAAAATTCGCTGGAGTAAATTCTGATGAGTTTAAGTTTCACAAACAATATTTCAATATAGACTTGGAGCATAGAACCCCTGGCCACTGTACTAAGTGTTTATTTAAGCGGATATGAGTATTTATATAGTCTTGATAAAGGCGTTTAATAACTTGAGATGTGAAAAAAAAGGTTATGTACGATTAAAAAAATATTAAGTGCACACTATTGAGTAAATAATTGAATGAAATAAAAAAATTATCCTAGTAGCACTGCATTGATGATTAACAACCAAAACTTATGCTGGCCGATGTCTACATCCTGACTGATTTGAAATTTGGTCTCGTATAATTCTTATTTGTTAATGGTGAATGTTGAAATTTTTTAAAAAAATTGTTTATCGCTAATGTAGTTAAGGAAATTATTTAATTGGTAATGATGAATTTTCTAGATTGAAGGCTAAGTATATCTAATTATAAAAAAGCCACGTCTGGCGTTTTGATATCTGACACAGACTCGATGATAAAACATTTCCAATGGGTTGCTTTGCAAGTTGTCAGACACCCAGAAGTTAAAGGAAAACAAAAAAACGCGTACTGAACAAAGTTGATCTCTTTTCACTCTCATCACGAAACACAAGAATGACACATCTACACGGAAGACAAACACTTTGAGCCCTGAAGATGATCTCAATAAAGATCGAAACGTTGGCATGATAAAGAAAATGTTTTTCTGAAACCTACGTCACACCAGACCGCACCTCACGATCTTCAAATAATCATTGGCTAACGATCACTAAACACCACACATTTATCTCCTTTCCTAAAATAGGCCTATAGAAAAAAGAGTATTCAGCTTCTGGTTTTGAGTTATCGTTCAGTGTAATGCTTGTTTAAATATTAGTTGATGTTTAAAATCCATGTAGTTTATAAATTGATTTCCTTACTGGTACTTATTTCAAATGGGCTTTAAACTTTCTCGCTTGTATAAATTTGCAGGTTGGTCTAGTCAAAAGACGTCTTTTGAAAACCTTTTCGTACCTTACTTTCGTACACGCAATTGGTCATTAATTTGAAAAATGACAAGGCGAAAGGTTCTAAAACTGCTGTGAAAATCTTGTAACAAATTTGACAAAGTGCCGTCAAAAACAGAAGAACGATGAAGAAAAGTCGAAGAGAGTCTTAAATTTCCGTCGTATTTTAATTTTTTTACTATGATGCAAGAGTGAAATTTTGTGTCCGTTCATTTTGTTCGCTGTTGTGGTACGTCTTGCCGTCTGGAACGTCCAATGTACGCGGCGGTAAGAAAAAGGCTGTAAATAGTTTATATTTTATTGAGTAAACGGTAGAACAGTGGAGACGACAAAGGGCTAGAAAAGGGCCACAAGTCGTAAATAGTTCCAGCTTTATTCGATGAACAGTAGGCCAATAGGGCTGCAAAGGATTAGGAGAAAGGCTGCCATACGGGCCTAAAACTTTCTGTAAGTCGAGAACCATTGGAATAGGTAAAATTCGAAATTTTTAAAACTATTTCTATAGTCTATTCGAAAAATATAGACCTCACTGGGAAAAAGGTTAGAAAATTTTTCGGGAAAAATGCTAGTAAGAAAAGAAAAAAAAAGAGTTCTTTAAAGTAAAAAAAAATTTTTTGCATTCAAGAATGAATTAACAGTAGATGAAATGGATACAAAACTGCAAAATTGTTGTTTTTTATTTGGATGATAAATTAGCCTTGGAAAGTTGGCAGGTCTTGATAAATACTTCAAGCATTCTAGTAAATCTCACAAGGGGAAGCTACAGATGTAGGATCGATGAAACTTGTGTGGTGTTTAGTGACCGTTAGTCAATGATTATTCGGAGATCGTGAGATGCGGTATGGTGTGACGTAGGTTTTAGAAAAACATTTTCTTTATCGTGCCAACGTTTCGATCTTTATTGAATCATCTTCAGGGCTCAAAGTGTTTGTTTTCCGTGTAGATGTGTCATTCTTGTGAGTCGTGTTGAGAGTGGCCAACGACTCACAAGAATGACACATCTACACGGAAAACAAACACTTTGAGCCCTGAAGATGATTCAATAAAGATCGAAACGCACGATAAAGAAAATGTTTTTCTAAAACCTACGTCACACCAGACCGCATCTCACGATCTCCGAATAATCATTTAATGAAACTTTTCACCGACCCACCCACACTCTCTCACTCTCTCTCTCTCTCTCTCTCTCTCTCTCTCTCTCTCTCTCTCCTCTCTCTCTCTCTCTCACTTCACTCTCTCTGTCATTCGCCCACATGGAAAATGGATAACATAAACGATAGCATCGAAATTATGGACTCTGAGTTATGTGATCTTGTAATCTCTTGTAATAATCAAAACTGACCCCAGCAAAATTTAAATCTAAGACATTAGGGCGCAATTGACAGTACTTTAAAGTATGCATGAATAAAACAATCGACAATTCTCTAAATTTTAGCAATTGAATTTAAAAAATAACCTAACTTGGCATAATCAAGTTTCCATAGTTACTAGCAAAATTAATTCAGGCCTGTAGAATATGAAAAATTGTCAAAATTCAAAACACGTTAAATTAAAAATCCACTATTTAAGACATTGATTTTTCCTCACCAAATTACCGTTTATACGTTCTGTCTACTATCAGGGAACAATGATTAAATAAGCTGACAATAAATGTACACATTATGTTTTGGACATGAAGGACTATTCAAGAATGTAAGATGTTAAATGGAAAACATTGCGAGTAAATTACTTCCGAGAATGAGTAAGTTCAACTGTTTTTAATAAGGTATTAAAATCGACTCAACCCATATATCTGTGAAATAAAATAAATAAGTTTAATGAGCCATTTAGATATTTTACTACAAAAGAAAAATGAAATATTGTAATTCTAAAATTCAGAACAAAAAATGCAAAATGTCTTTTCTTATAAAAACTTCTGAAGCCCTTAATAAATTATCAAAAGAAATTAAACAATTGCAAAAATTAGTATATTCAAAGTAAATTTAAAAAAAAATAACTACAAATGTTATGACTAATGAAATACATGTACTTATTTTAGTTACTATTTGTCTTATTCATCACTTTTATTACAGCATTCTCTTCATTTAATTTTAATTGCAATTTTTTTCTCTCAAATATTTTTTTATATTATTGTTTTTTTTCCGAATGTAAATAATAACGTTAGTTCTCTCTCTCTCTCTCTCTCGCTCTCCCCCAGGCACACACTCACCCACTAACCAATTCACCAACTCACTTCCCTTCTCTCTCCCTCGATCATTTTAAAATTAAAAAAATTAAAAAATAAGGTCGTTAGCGAGTGTTGTTAAGAATCATTTGATGAAAAAAAAGAGTATTATCTCTTTTTTATCACTAATTTATTTTTTTTATTCTTCGCTTATCCTCTCAGCCTTATTCAGCCATAAAAGGCCAAAAGTGAAAAAGGAAAGGGTGAATGCTACTGTTCTTGGTTTTTGACATCATGATGCTGCTTGGCTTTGTTTGGTTATTTTGGCTGAAATGCTCAAACATACAAAATTAAAATTTTTATTTAATGGAAAATTTTTAAATTACAGAAGAATGGTAACAAAAGCGCTGTGAAGTTCATGATAAACAGTCTGAAATTTAAAAAAAAAATCATACTTTCAATTTAGCTTTTCAACATTGAACCATGTTAACATTCAACATTGCATCGTCATTGGTTAATCTGTACTTCTTATGATCTGTTATACCAATGTGGTACTCTTTCTTTATTGTGTAAGAAAAATTAGGAACTGATCTTCCTTTTTATTTGTTTTTTATTTCTGAAAGACCTCAGTGTTCAGGCAAAAAATCCTACTAAATTTATGAGCTTGCAGTGAACCTCAGAGGGTTTATTCCGTGTACTGGGTTCAATAGAATTGTTGTTTATTATATGTTGGCTTTAAAAAAATTGGTATGTGGTTTGGAAGAAAACAAAAATTTATCAGATGGACGTACATATTTGATTTCTGAAGAAAGAAACTGTCCAAATCTAGGAAAAGGATTTTCTCGATGATCCTGTGTGGACACACTGCCCATATCCAGTTTGTGAAAGCCTAGTGAAGTTGCAAAATCCTGGATTTACAACAAAAGCAAGGGTAGTGGGAGAGAATTGTTTCGGGGTCATCCCTCTGGCCGGTACCTGATAGGTTTGTCAGGTGTCAAGGTACAATATATTGGCAGTTGTCAGGTAACATCTGATCCTGCACGACTTATTTATAGACTATTTTTTTCTCTTATATACATTTTTTTGTCGCACGGGGCTGATATGGGCGAAAGAGAGTGAAAACCGGAAAACATCGGCAGGCGTATTGGTCGGCCCCCGGCCAAAGCAATGTGCTAATTAAAACGGGCCGGAAATATTAACAAGGCAATTAAAGTACTGGTAACGTAGAACCACTTTTAGCCGACCAGATGCAATTCCGACGGCGAATTTTGAAATGTATACACTACATACCGAAGTTTAACAATAATTTCGGTTTTTATACCATAAATTAAATTCAAACGGTCGTAAATTTAATAAGAGCTTGTAAAAGAGGTTTGGCCGGTTTGAATGTGGTATCATTTAAAAATGGAACACATATAAACCTTTATAAAGTTTTTGTTGGTACGGCCAAACCGTTCATTAAAGCCCCAATTAATCTCATGATCTAAAAATCAGGTTGGAGTAATCGAAGAATAATCGCACGTTTAAACAAGTCTTCATTATTTAGCATAAAATCAAATTTATGCTAATAGATGTTTACATTGTTCCAGACATGATATTTGTATCATTGGATATTCAAAAAATAGACCAATTGGGGGGAAAAAGCACGTTAACATTTCAAGTTGGTAACAGATGCAGTTTCCAAAAGATGTTTAAAACCTTTCAACGTCTGCAATTGATAAACGGAAACATTTCCTGTCTAGAATAAAATAAGGGACAGAGCGAGAGAAAAAAAATAGAAAGAGTTTTCTTTATGGCAGGAAATGGTCTGGTCCTGTGGATACGAGATTGGGAAACACCTGGTGACTTCCACATGATGAGCCTCTATTTTCCCCTTGTTACGAACAGATATTTTTTACGAGTCAATGAATAACGCTTTGAATTTGTTAGATAGTTGGACTGACATGACATGCGTGGTGAGACCTATTGAGGACTACGGGGTGATGAACAGTTTGCTCGTTTCTGGTCACTTTAGTATGCCTTTCATTGCAAATTGAGTTTGTCGTCACACACCCTTTTAGTAGTGTTTTTGTTCGTTATTTTGAAGGACACGATAGACAAAATAACACACAGACCCAATCCTCATCTCACCAACCTACTCACTACTCTCTGTCACTTAGACTCTCTCTCTCTCTCTCTCTCTCTCTCTCTCTCTCTCTCTCTCTCTCTCTCTCTCTCACACACACTCACCCACTTTTCCTCTCTCTTTCTTTTTCTCTCTCACTCACCCACTCTTTCTCTCTCCCTCTTTCTCTCTCGCTTTCTCTCATACTCACTCTCTCTCCTCTCTCTCTGTCTCTCTCTGCCTTCTTTCCTCACTGTCTCCTTTCCTCACTCTCTCACTCTATCTGTCTGCCTGTCTTTCTCTCTCTCTCTCTCTCTCTCTCTCTCCCTCTCTCTCTCGCTTTCTCCCATACTCGCTCACTCTCTCTCTTTCTCCCTCTCTCTCTCTCTTCTCTCTTCTCACTCTTGAATAGAATCTCAAAGACACACTGAAGATGGCGAAATGCCGAAGCGCGCCTGACCCACCCAGTGATGATAGGCAAACCAAAATGATCGGTGAGGATGAATTTATTCGCACTCTAGTCTGCCCGATGCCTCCACATAAATTGTGGATTTGGGCTTTATTTGACGGATACGTTAGGCAAAATGATACACATGACTGAATATTGCGAGAAGCTGAAATTAGTATAACAGATTCAAAACAGCGATATATCTTTCATATCTTATAAGCCCGATCTGAAGCTTTTCGCAAGTTTGAAACAGCCCTAGGTTAAAGTTCAAAAATATAGAAAAAAATGTGACCAGTTTTAACAGCTTCCTGGACTTTTTTCATCCTTGGGAAACGTGAATGCAGAATTTTAAAGAACCGTTCCTTCAACTCAACCTAATCTAAAACCTAATGTTCTTAATGATATTCTTATCTTGTCACTATGGAATTTTAAAAAACATATGGTGATTTCCGAGTTGAACCAAGATTATATATGTATGTTTTCTTTAACGGTCAACACTCGGAATAAATAATTTACATTTCAGTTAGCATTTTGATCATAATATAAGTCAGTAATAGGTGGGAGGTGCTAATTATTTCCACGAATCGGATAGCCGATTACATCACGTTATTATATTGATCTGCATAAAATTTGACATGTTTGAACATTTCTTACAGGCCCTGGAATCATTTCAAAAGAGATTATTCGTTGACGCAAAGAGTCCAAAGGTGGTGAGGCAGTGAGTGAAGGCAAATTTCGTCGTCAGGTGTTTCAAACGTGATAACTAAGTGAGCTGTGCAACTTCACGTTCAAAAACAGGTATGTTTTAGATTTACGAAAAGCCTTTTTAAGAAAATTGTACTTGTTAAACTACCATAAAATAATATAAATCTCTCGCTGCCTTAATCAATTTCATTCATTCACACACCAACCCATTCATTCACGCACAATTTCTCTCTCCCTCCCTTCCTCCCACTGTTACTCCCTCTTCGCTCTTCTCTATCTATGTAAGTATGTCGGGTTCGAATGCAGGGCCGCTGGATTTGAACCCGGGACCTTTACTTTACAGTGATTAGCGCCGTGTCAAAGCCTAAACCGTTGCGGCACCCGACGCCCCCATTCTCTCTCTATCTATCTGTCTGTCTGTCTACATTTATCTCTCTATATCTCTATCACTCTTTCTCACTCACCACCCGCCCATACTCTCTACTCTCTCTTAAGTTGGGCTGATGCAGCTTTACAAGCTTTTCCTACAAGCTGTTTCCTTGCCTCTCTTCTTAGGTCAAGGTTGAGGTCTTCATTTCTAGGGTGCATTAACTGTATATCTTAATGATAATTCTGAACCGTTTTACGATTTGACGGTTGGTATTGCAGGCATAGCATCTGATAGTCAGAGGTCCACATGGACTTGAGGACCCAGGTAAAAGTAAGAGCTTACTTGGGCAACTGAGAGATCACGGACTGTCATGTTAAGCTCCACGAACTTTCCAATCGCAAACGCGCATCCAATGACATACCAAAGTACTTTGCCTCGATTCGATTCCCGACACAGCTTTTGAAACCTGTTTCTTTTTCTTTCTTTCACTCTCTCTCTCCCTCTCTCCCTCTTTCTTGATCATTTTTTTTAAAAAATATCGACCATAATCGCGACGCTTGCATCGTAATTGTGCGAAAAATTAAACTAATTAAATTTTAAACTAATTAATAAACGGTTGTTAGCATTTGTTAGGTAGGAATCATTTGAAGAAAAAAAGAGCATTATCTCTTTTTCTTATCACTAATTTAACTTTTTTTTGTTCTTTACTTATAGTCGTCAACCTTATTCTGCCATAAAAGGGTGATCTAGAATATAGGGTGATAGCAAGTCTAGAAAATATAAATGTGTCAATGGTCTTATGATGCCACTTGGCTTGGTTTGATTCGTTTCGCCATTTTGACTAAAATTCTGAAAATAGTTTTTGTTGTTGAAACTACAGCGAGGTCATCTCTGAAAAACAATGTCTAAACTGAGAACTCTTTTGCTCTTTACTTGAAAGTTAATTTTAATGATTATTTGAAGATCGTGAGATGGGGTCTGGTGTGATGTAGGTTTCAGAAAAACATTTTCTTTATCGTGCCAACGTTTCGATCTTTATTGAGATCATCTTCAGGGCCTGGGATTTATAAATATTGTTTAAATTATACAAATACAAGGATGTGAAAAAATGAATTTATACCATGATAGAAATTTTAGAATCAATCAAAGTATTTGTACTCACTTGTTAATTTTAATAAATTAAAGAGGGCGGGCTCTGGAACTCCTGCAAAAATTTATGCTGATCGGTGGAGTCCATTCAAAGTTATAGCCATTTTTGTGATTTTCGAAAACAAATCAGTCAATTTCGAAGGTGAATTTTGAAAGACGTAAGGACAAAAATATTTTCGAGGTTCAGAAAACTGATATCAACTTTGTCCTATTTTTTCCAGTTCCTATAAATTTAAATATCCAATCAATACTGGGGGGGGGGATTTACTCTCGATATCCGGTGTTTCCCTGTTAAAAATGTCAGAACTTCTCCGGGTTTTATCCAAATCCAACATTATTAGAACCTTCTTTCAATTAATTAATGTTGTTATGTAAGGTTTTGGTTGAAATGAAACAATTAGTGTCACGAGCGGGATTCGAAGCCGAAAGTCGTGCGTTCGAATCCCGCTCGTGACACTAACTTTTTCATTTCAACCAAAACCTTACATTACAAGATTAATTAATTGAAAGAAGTCATTTGGTCAATCAGACCACTAAATATAATGGAGTTTTAGAACCGTTGAAGTGCTTAAATTCTCTTCCTTTTATAAAACATCAAAAATGTTTAGATTTTATATCATTACAAGTGAGACAAAACTGCTATTCTAACCTTTTTTTTTACAGAGACCACGTTTCTGCCATTACGTCTGTGTATAACCCTCTAAGCTTCTATCAAGATTCTTGTGGACTGGTGGCTTTCGTTCAAAGTTAAAACCGTATTTTGGAAAAATATATCTCAGGGATTCAGAAGGTAATATTTTTTATTTTACAAAAAATTTGTATTCAGGGGTTTTTCGAGGTGGAGAAAAAGAATATCAACTTTGTTTTTGGCTGATATATACATAATTATTTGGAGATCATGAGATGAGGTCTGGTTAGAGTAGTTTTTAGAAAAACATTTTTTTTTTTGTCGTGCCAACGTTTCGATCTTTATATTGAGATCATCTTCAGGGCCTGGGATTTATAAACATTGTTTGAATTTTACAATTATATGTAGGATGTGGAAAAAAAAAATTTTTAAAACTATTTTCCTTCGTCGTTCGGACACAAATTCTGTACCCCTGTAAGTTTCCTGTCGATCAGAGTCGTTTCAAAATTATCACCATTAAATTCACTAATTTTCGTGGTCCGCTTGACCAATTAATATCTTTCAATTAATTAAGGTTTTTAGTTGAGATAAAAAAGTCAGTGTCACGAGCGGGATTCGAACCCACGATCTTCGGCTAGATACGCCGCTACTCTACCACTTGAGCTTGATTTTCTAAAGTGTGCAATATTAAGTTTTATTTATATATTTTTTGTTATTTATTGCACGGTTAAGTGGGTACAACTCGGAATTCGATTCGCTAGAGGAAGTGTCATCATCATGAGAGCAGTGAAGTCGGCGAAATCTTAAACATCTGAATGAATTTCCGTTGGTTGTAAAGATGACTCGTTTAAAGCTATTATTATATTAATTACATTACAATTAATTAAGGTTTTTAGTTGAGATGAAAAAAAGTTAATGGCACGAGCGCGATTCGAACCCACGATCTTCGGCTAGATACGCCGCTACTCTACCCCTTGAGCTATCGTACCTCGATCCACTCGGACACTGACTTCCCAGCTCAACCCCACCTTTTGAATTTTCCCTCCTTTTTGCCATTTTTCAAATGTCGTGTAATCAGAATTCGATTCTCGACTACAAATGAAATGGCCACGGAGAGTTTTAGCGAAGGTATACTTCATTTTAACTTATTAAATTCACTAATTTTCGTGGTCCGCTTGACCAATTAATATCTTTCAATTAATTAAGGTTTTTAGTTGAGATAAAAAAAGTCAGTGTCACTATTTTTTTTTAACATTTGAACAACAGCCTATTGGTGTGTCTAATATTTATTTTTGAATCCAGTAAAAAAATATTGTTTAAAATCCGTGATCGACCGTCTTATCCTTCCCTTACCTTTATATTTGATCTTACTTTTGAAATTTGACGTGATTTATCAGTTCGTGTAGTCGAATATTTTCGGCCGTTCTACATATCAGTGGGTTATCGTTTAAATCATACAATCTCTGAGTAATCTATTGTTTCCTTCGAATCATTTGTACACGATTAATCATACGATGATGATTTTTTTTCTCTCTTTCAGGACAAGGGTGATTTCACTTTTGTGTCACTTCTGTCTGAGGAATTCTTACTGTTGTTAAGACAAATTCGATAGATTAATCTTGTGTTATTTTAGTGATTAAACTTTTCTTTCTCTTTCTCTGGTGTTTACTTGTGTTCAGTCCCTTTCTAGTCTTCACCGGTGACGATTTAGAAAAGCGTTCCCTGGATTCCGGTAATTTTTTTTTTTTACCAAAGAAAATAGCACTTACAATTTTCACGTTCTGTATAGCGATTTCCAATCTTTCAACTATACATACATCATGACTTGAATGAACTGTTGAATGTTATGTTGAAATAGTATTCGATTTCGTGTTATGTTATTGAATATTTATATAAAATTTGAATATTTTTCCACCGGCAATTTCAGTTTTTGTAATTCCCACTAAATTACCAGCAGGCCTCGAGAATCACCCGCCTCCGGTGTTGACAGTCTGGAGTCAGAACTCGGTCTTATCCGTCCAGCCACCGAGGTTAGGGCTCCGGGTGCTGTGAACAGCTAGTTCAATTCAGCACCCAACGCATGCAGTTCCTAAATCCAAACCCATTCAAACTCTCGATTGAGGGTCGATGGGGTATTCGATATTCGCCATCGACCCTCTCACACTACACATTCACGCTAATAAATACATTCACTATTAACACACGATAGGTACACAAAGCTAACAACCCTGTTTCTTACAAGAATTCGAACAGGGGACTCGCCACTCGCTGACGTGCTCAAGCACAATTCTCATATCAGATGGCATTCCTACACGCTCACAATATAGAGCCAAGGCGTTGCAACGTTCATTTAGATGGGACATATAGACCTATCTCTACATGCCGGACACAAAGTAAGTGTGTCAACCTCCCATGGCCTATCCTTAATCGGGTGAGGATGACCCTTCTTCTGCAAGTCAGATATGCAAAATTTCTTGGTTTTTTTAACATATAGTACATATAAAAAGCGTTTTATAATAACAAGGTAAAAAGAGGGCTCGTCAATAGGAAAGCTCTTCAGACTACAATCTGGGTTTTGGAAGAGGCCATCTTCTACTGTACACACTCGCCTTAAGGAATCCCCAAACGTACAAATCCATGACAGTAACCTGCCACCTCGTTCCCTCGATCTTACTGATGACGATCGTTGATCTCGTGTACGTTTTTAACAATTGATAGTAGTCTACTATAATCAGGAGGGATTGTGGATATTCTTATACCTCGAAAGCTTATTAAATAATGAACTTTTCGTGGAGTTTGACAATCACTAGGATCAAACATAAAGGCATACCTAATCATACAAAACAACCAAACATTGTGGTATTTTTCAAATTTGAGCATTTATTAAGGTTCTTGACTGAAAATTATTTCAGGTGAAAGTAGTAGGTTTTTCTCTCGTAGGGTAACTTTCCATAGAAAAACTAACACAAAGTCGAAATTGGTTAGGGACTGGAGATAGGTATAGAGACTATAAGTTGGAAGTTGTTGCAATAGGGTGAACTATCACCCAAAATGTTTCCGCATTGTTCTCTGGGACACCCTGCATATATGTACCTGTTAAATGTATTTTTAGTATTTATTTATTTATTTATTATTATAGTTATTTACATATATATAGATATATATTTAAAATAGTAGTGAAGATGGAGGTTTTTGTTATTTAACTTGTGTAAACGTACCTATCATGAAGTAGCGAAATATATCGTCGAAAGCTTGGTACAAAAGCACTATTTGTTTTCTGGCCACAGCCCTAATCCACGTGACTCTACTATACAGGGTGATTCACAAACTATGGCGAAACTCACGATGATTCTTCAGCTAATTTGCAACAAAAAATATTCTATACAATTTTTAAAAATTCTCAATAGTTTCGGAGATATTTATAAATAAATTTGTTTTCTCCAAAACGCTGTTTTTTTAGGTTAAAACCGCCATAACTTTTCTTCGCTTTAAGGTATAGCAAATCTGATAGCACCATTAGAAAGAGGGATAAATGTCCCGACAGATAGAGATAAATAACTTTTTAAAATTATCCCTTTAAGCATTTCGTTTTGTGTTCAATCATGATACAATCCAATTTTTGTCATTTCAGCTAGAGCATTTAAACCTTAACAATTGTTAACTATGGGCTATGAAAGTAAGAAAAACTTCCTTTAGTATGAACCATACTGAACGATTACCGAAGTAGAACTAATAAGATTTCTGCTTAGATAGTAACAACAAAGGGAAAGTATTCTAATAATAAAGTAAAGTAAGCAATTTTGAGCCACATCAAATCAGGGGATTAAAGCAAATTTTATCCTTCTTGTCAATTTTTTCCACTAAATTTGTATTTTTCTTTAAAACGGGATGTTATTTTTTTTAAAGTAATTATTTTTTATTTTATTATCAATATGAATAAAGAAAAAGAAAAGCATTCCCCATCTTTTGAGCATGATTTTCTTATTCAAACCCTATTTTTCCTCTAATGATCATATTTCCTAGGAAAAAGCCCATGTTAAAAAGTTTTCAAGCTTGTTACATGAAGAAGTTTTTCTTACTTGGATCGCCCTTAGTTGACAATTGTTCAGATTTAAATGCAGATTAAAACTCTGGCTGAAATGACAAAAACTGGATTGTTTCATGATTAAACACAAAACTAAATGCTTAAAGGAATCATTTTCATCATAAAACGTATTTATCACTATCTATTGGGAAATTTGTCCCTCTTTCTAATGGTGCTATCAGATTTGCTATACCTCAAAGAGCAAAAAAGTTATGACGGTTTTAACCCCAAAAACAGCGTTTTGGAGAAAATAAATTAATTTATAAATATCTCCGAAACTGTTGAGGATTTTTAAAAAATGTATAGAATATTTTTTGTTGCAAATAAGCTGGCTAATCATTTCCTTGAGTTTCGCGCATAGTTTATGATTCACCCTGTGTAGTAAAGGCTGGTGGACCTTATAGAAGATTACTATTCTATTTTCAAGGGTTCCAATATTGGCTTGGGAGGTTTTGAACTAACACACTCCTCGAAAATAGAACGTAATGATCCAAACTATTCGAAAGGTTATTAATTTTTTTTAATTTGTCGATTTTTAAAAATTTTTGTCATGGCGGAATAATTTTTTGATATTCTTCAAAAATCTCCTGTAAATGTTTTTTGGGTGGTTTTGGTATACCATACTTCTCGAAAATAGAACGTAACGATCCAAACTATTCGTAAGATTATTAATTTTTTTTAATTTGTCGATTTTTAAACATTTTTGCCATGGCGGAATAATTTTTTGATATTCTTCAAAAATCTCCTGTAAAGGTTTTTTGGGTGGTTTTGGTATACCATACTTCTCGAAAATAGAACGTAACGATCCAAACTATTCGAAAAATTATTATTATTATTATTATTATTATTTTAATTTGTCGATCTTTAGGAAGTTTTGTGTTAGCGGAGTAACTTTTTGATATTCATCAAAAATCCTTCCAATATTTAAATTTCAAAAGTTTGTTCAAGCGAAATGGCTATCATTTGGACTGAATAGTTATCATTCTGTAAAAATGTAACCTAGATTTTAAAAATAACTTAAATTTTGATGAAAAATACAAAGATAATGGAGAAATGTGTGGTGTTTAGTGACCGTTACTTAATGATTATTTGGAGGTCGTGAGATGCGGTCTGGTGCACTCTCAAATCTCAACCCGACAGATAAGAATGACACATCTACACGGAAAACAAACACTTTGAGCCCTGAAGATGATCTCAATAAAGATCGAAACGTTGGCACGATAAAGAAAATGTTTTCTAAAGCATACGTCACACCAGACCGCATCTCACGACCTCCACATAATAATAATGGAGAAAATTTCTTTCTTTTGTGTGTGTGTGTGTGTGTGTGTGTGTGTGTGTGTGTGTGCGTGTGTGTGTGTGGCGCGCGCGCGAGTTTTTTCTCTTCTTAATTTCTTTAATATCTTGCCATTGTGCATGAGCGTACCCCTGAAGGACGAGCTGTCGACCCCCTACATCCAAAAATATCAGGCAACATAAGACGAAATGGTGACAGGGGAAAAGGGTTCAGAACTTGTCGCATTATTTAGACACGTAAATTTTTACAAACAACCTCAATTTTGATTAAAAAATGCATAGGTAACCGAGATATACCCATTTGGGGGGGGGAGGGCTAGCAAAAACTCCTTTGAAAAACAATGTAACGATCCTACCAACATACCTTTCGAAAGCTTATGAAATTAAAGCTTTTTATCTAAAACTCGCTTATCTTTAGGAAATTTTTCCACAGCGTAGTGAATTTTCTGAAATTCTTCATATATCTTCCGATTTTAAAATTTATAGGTTTGTACCAACAAAATGGTTATTATTTGGTCGGAAATGGTACCGTTTATATTGTATCTGCGCGAATGAATGAGTTAGAAAACTGATTTTGCGATATTCTAATTCATTTACAGTCTTATGTCACCCAATTCATTTGTTTTCCCTTGATTTACAAAAAATCTGATTAATTCATACCAGTTCTTAACAGAAATCCAATGAATTGTTCGTAGCTCATTATTTCTGTTTTTGACCATACTAAAAAGTGGTATTTTCTCCGTTCCATAAGTTGCATAGTGCACACTACTTTCTTCCTCTCAGTTCTAAGCATTATTTAGGCCTAATTATTTTCCTCTGAGTCTAATTTGGTAATAAAATGTATTGCGCCCAAATATATTTCTGCTAGCTTGTACCATATATTGAATAAAAACATATTTTTATAACCTTGGATATGGTTTGAACTAAATTCTCTACATAACTCAATCTTCCTGATGCCAAGACTATTTTCCATTGCATATTGACTCAATTTCTTAGTATGTCTTGCATACTGGAACTCCAGCAGCACCTTGTGAAAATTTATCTGCTGCAAAATAGTATATACCAAATGGGATATCTCACTGTTTCCAGATACAATAATCAGGTCAATTTAAAAAGAAATCAGTTTATCATCACAGCCAACCACTCTGTAGACCTCTCTTCCTTTTCTGGGAGTCAATTCAGAATCAGAAAATCCAACAAATATATATTGAAAATTGAATGCGAAAGAAAAGAAAAAATGCAAAAATTAGACGATTGAGCCGCGATTTTCAATCACGGTCGAACAAACCGTCAGTATAGGTTCAGCTGCTGTTTTTAGTTGATCAGCTAAAGTTTGAACCAATCAAAGTCCAGACTTACTTTCAAGTCGTGAGTCATTCCTTTCAAGTTTAAACACGGCTTGAAACATGTGAACATCTCAGTTGGTTGTTTCCTGTAGCGTGAGAACTCGCCTTAAATCGTACATAGCATTTTTCATTTATCTATTTTTGTATTAATTGAACACGACACTCGTGATGACTCGATGAAAAATTGTTTCCTGATGTCAACCGCTCTCTGAATAATGATAACTGCTGATGGAGCATTCAGCCAGTCTCCGAGTCCACCCACCGGTCAAAAATTTGCTGATTTGTCCATGACGGGCTACATTCGATACCCACCATTACAGTAGACATCGTTTAGGTACGTATTGTTGAAAAATCCAGCAATTATGCAGAAACTATGTCTGTTTGGCCTGGTTATTGTTATAAATTATAACTTCAAAAAACTTTATAGGATTTTATGTAAGATTTTATGTAAAACTTCCAGTTCCTCTTGTTCTTTAAATGCTTTAATTCTTGCACGATTTTTTAAGTGAATTTTCAAGAGGTCATTAGCTCTTAAGAGTGACGGACATTTAGAATGAATTGTAAAGCCATTTAGCAATATTATTGCGTTAATTATAACATACTTATATATTATTAGGCACAGAATTAATTTATTATTGAGAAATAGTGTTGTTTTTGTTGGAAAAACCGAATTTTATAACTGTCCAACCCGAAGCAGGTATTGAAAAAAGAAGGGGGGCGCCCTAAATCCGTTCTAAACCGTTCATTTCCCAGAGGCTGGGAGTTGTAAAATTTTAACGGTAGTTCTATTTCTATTTCAAGCCAAACGGTTTGGAAGTGTTAAACAGTGAAGAGGGCGAGTATTTTCTTTTATTTCGAAATTGTTAACTGAGGATTTCTACGAGGCCGCCTTTACGTTGGCAGTAGTGATCGAGAAGTGTTCCAAAATAACCAGCCTCCAGCTGAGAATGACATTATGACTTGTATTATTTTTTTTTACAACACTAATTCAATTTAGCAATAATCCCATTAAAGTTATTATGCCGAGACATTAACGTTAATAAGTCGGGAAACTGCGTAAAATGGTTATTTAGGTAAATCAATTTATTTATTACATGTTGGGAGATGGTTTTCCGAATCGTATTTATAATGTAGCCCCCCCAGCCTTGTTCAGTCTAGGGGCAAAAATGTGTTAATTTCGAATGTTATTTTTCAGTTTTCGCTTGTCGACTTATAATTTAACACAATGGGCAACTGTCTTAAAGGGTCGTCAGCCGATGACATTTCCCTTTTAAGAGGAAGTGAAAGTGTTGGAGATACGACGTCGGAACATCTCGGCCTTCCTCCTCCGTATCGGGTAAGTTCCATAATTTTATAACATTTCACACTTGAGCACCTATTTCTAGAACTCAGGCACTCAAAAGTTTCATAGAAAATAAATAAACTTGCGAGTAAATACATTTAAATAATCCAGGGCTCTTTTGTTCAGTCTTTACACTTCGGTTTACTTTGTCCTCTACCATCTCATGTTTTTCTAGAGAATTTCAAATTTCCGCCAAAAAACTGAAATTTTACAATTTTCAAAAGATTAAGCAATAATTTAGAAAAGGCTGTTGACATTGATAATTGGCCCCAGGGTTCAAGGAAACTTCCTGCTTGCCTAAGTTCTCCCTTCCCCAATTCAAAAGTTTACCTTCTCAATTAAATATAACTCCAAAAAAATCTTTGTATAAATTTTTATTCTATATAAAAGTTCCCAGTGAGTTTTGTTCTTGAAACTATTTTGCTGTTTCATAATTCAATACAAAAAGTTATTTATTGGTCAACTCTGCCCTGCTAAGAAGAAATCCCATATCTTCCCGGAGATTCCCAGTTGGGCCAATCATGAGTTGAAAAGGAACAGGCGTAGTGCCCCGTTGGACCGAAACACGAAACTCCGTAACTCTGAGCCAAGCATTGCGCTGAACTTTTTACCCCCGACAAGTGTGTATAATGCATTCACAACATTGATGGTCGATGCACCAGTAGAAGTCATGGAAATCAGCTGCTGTGTCCTCACAATTGGCACAGAAGAGGACTGCGTTTTTCCCACAAATATGGGCTTCAACCCCACCGAATACGAACATAAAAACTACATATATTGCAGAATCATTTCATGCAGGCTACAACTGTCAATTCTATGCACCCCATCCGACTGTTCATATCGTAATTACTGTTTTCAAACAAATTGAAGCTGAATCTAATATTTAAGCATTAAAAAGGCTCTGAAAACCCAATGGAAGACAGACCTGTGAAGTGATTGAATTTTTTTAAAACTTTTTTTAAACACAACCTGGAGTAAGTCTAAAGGAAACATAACAAACAGAAACATGATGGAGACCTCGGTAAACTTTCAGAACATCGGCTGAACACTGATGAAGATGAGTGAATTATTATGAACAATAATTCATTGTGTCATAATGAGGGATGTGTGGCTGAAGAAAATGTAGTTTTAGTAATTATATTTACTACATTAATGACTGTGTTTATTGTTTCATTAAATTTCATTCAAAATTTATTAAATTTATTCGTTGTTAGTAGCCTGAAAACTGAGTTTTCATTTGTTTTATTATCTAAGTTTGTCATCTGCTTTTGGGTTCAAACGAGTTCAGTAATCGACTCATTTGTGTGTCCAACTAATGTATATATTGATTGTATAGTTCTCATCAAATGACTTCTTTATTCAATAAAATTATTTTTGACTTTCATCGTAAACATAATTTTTTCTGATACATTACTCAATCTGCTTTTTTGCCCTAGTGATTTTGAAACGAAACACTTAGTCATTTGAATGGCCAGATAATGGTACTCTGTGTTTTCTTTGTAATTGGTCTCATTCCAGATCATTTTTTAAAAAGGCTGATCAGATGAAATGACTGATAACTACACTACCTGTCCAAAAAACATAAAAATAAATAAATAAAAATAAAAAAATTGCAACACCCTGAAATTGTCATATTTTATTTTACGTTATTATCAATCCTTTTTGTTTGCTCATAAAACATTTTTGTAGAAAATCATTGGGTATGTTGTCCCATAATTACGGCTGCCTTCAGCATTTTCGAGGGTAGTATGAGATTGATCTCATGATCAAACCTTTGTTTTGAAATTGTATCAATCATTGATTGGGCTAATGTCTGGTTTTCTTACTGGCCACTCAAAGTTTAGTTAGCTTGGTGTTCAGATACCCAGAAACATGTGTTTCCCTTGTGTGAAATAATATAAATAAAATATGTTTAAGAAAAAAGGCATAAAAGGCATTAACTACCTAATTCTATCCGCATAAGCACTGGCAGTAACTAAGTACTTCAAGTATTCTCCAGACACTTTCACGGGTCTGGAATGGTAATAGGACATCCACAGTCCATAATTGGTGTGCCCTAGAAATCTTAGTCTTTCTATGGTGAACTGTGGTGTGAAGGAAACCATTCACAGACCTTCTTGTTCTAAGGTTTGACTCTGTCTCTGTCTTTTCAGAAATTCATACTTTAAAAATCTTTTGACATTTTACATTTCATTTTTTAATTTTTGTCTGCAATATCAGCCCCTGCTGCTATTCCATTTCACTTCAACTCACCATAATTACATTCAGTAATTTAAGCGTTCTTTCAGATGTTTGGTGGTTCCTATTGGAAATGAGAAAATTGAATGAAAAAGGGTCAGGGTCAAAAAAAAGTTATTTTTAAATTGTAGAAAAGAAGGGCATTTGTTGAAGGGAAATATTCATGTGATTGAGCGTATAGTTCTCATCAAAACTTCTTTAATCAATAAATTTGCTTTTAACTTTCTCTCTGAACATCGGTTTTTACTAATATGTTCCCATAATCTGCTTTATTTAACTATTGATATTTTTCACTTAGCTATAGCTGTAACTATTGTAACTATCCACGGCCATGTGTGGAGAAGACATGGAGACTTTGCTTCATGTGCCATGCATGAGCTTTTTCAAAGACAGTCGTTTATGATATGGGGTGAATCAACGTCATTGCCCATACTGAACTGATCATCATACAGAATGGATCTTTAACTGCAGTAAGGTACATTGAGGAAGTTCTTCTGAAAGCTGCAGTCCTATTCGCTCCATTTATTAGAGACAACTTCATTTTAATGCTTATGATGCTCGACCGCATGTAGCTCAGGTTGCCACTCATTACTTGGAGGATGTAGGGATTACCAAATGAATTGGCCAGCAATTCTCTTGACATGAATCCTACAGAACACTTATGAAGCATTAAACATTGTTCGCTGCCTCCAACAAATGTTGAACAACTTCGAACTGCTCTTGTTGAAAAATGGGATTCTGTTTCACAAGGCAAAATCTAATCGTTTATTTACTCCATATACAGGAGACTCAAGGCTCTCGTGAGGCGAGAGGAGGTAGTAATACTTGTTATTAAGAGCAAAACTAAGTAATAAATGGTTAGTTAAATTTTAATCTATCACTAAATAATTTTTATTAAAACTCATGAATTTCTGATCTTGTTTAATTTAGTTTATATTAAAATATGTATGTTGTAATTAATATAACGAAAAAAATACATATAGTTTGAAGTAAACAACAAAATATGAGTGTCCAAATGTATATTTATTGAAATTTGGTTACAATGGTCATTGTTAAGATTAGGCTATAAATCAAAATTATAAGCCTAGGTTTTTCAAATATTTGATTATTCTAATAGTCTGCCAACTTGTCTAATATATATATTTTCAGATAAATTCGAAATGTTAATGACAACTTCTTTTAATTTGCAGGAAGCAGTACCTGTCTACTACCCCTCTCCCAATATAAGTCGTCCTGTGAACCAGTTAACAGAAGAAGAACAGATAAAAATCGCCAAAAGAATTGGCTTGATCCAGCATCTTCCTACAGGATCTTATGATGGCTGCAAGAAAAATAGAGAGTAAGCGCATATAACAGTTATTAATTTATTCCGTCTCATTCCCATGGTTGTAGCATTTTTGGATTCTACTAGATTATTGTTGTTTAGGATTATACTCGTGTTTTAGAATTTACAAAAATCCTTTCCTGTTTTTAAACAGTATTGGCACATTCAGAAATTCTCCAATTCTGTATTAACAAAATATGGCACATTTGAATTTGTTTTTAATCATCTACTCTTTTCTCTTCCTAGTCACTTATTTAACCTTATAAAAATATAACTGTTAGATTAATGTATAAAAGTGAATTAATTTAACACAATGTTTTTAAGAGTTAATTAATTTTACATTTTTAACCATTGCGCCATATCATATCTACTCGATGATAGGTCTTTTTTTTTATATTTTCCACCTCGCTATAAATTATCCTTTATTGTAGAAATAAATGTGTGGTTTTAGAAGCTGTAAATTTTCTTTTCCAACAGAATCAGATATTGTAAATTAAAAGAATAAAGGGTTGACGAACATTGGATGACAGGATGTAAACAAATTCAATAAACATTTATATTTGTTTTTAATAAGTAGTATGGTTTTAGCATAAGCATAGATTGAACCATAACCAAATAGAACACCTTTGGAATAAGTCTTCAAAAATTCATTAAAACAGCGGCTGAACGGTGAATTGATGGTTGTTTCATGTTTAAGTTAATTTTATTGTTGCTTCTATTATATAAAAAAATAAGAATTGTAAAATAATATTCTATCCTCTTCCCATCCTGTCACAGGACTCCTATAAACTTGATTAATCCTACATGGCATGTCTGCAAAGAAGTTTATACTTATCTCAGTAATAAAGCTGAAACATTTTGTACAGCTTTATTTATTTTTCCCTTATACTTTTAGTGATGAAATAAACAGATTTTTTTCCTCCACTTTTCAAGGTTTAGGCAAACAAAAGCAGGTAATTCAAACAACAAAATTCTAAAATTTTAAATTCTTTCTACACAATTTTCTCAATCAGTTAGCCCAAATAAAAGTAGCATTCTTATTAGTTGTGTGTTGTTTAGCGACCATTTATTCTTATTATTTTTATTATCATTTTTATTATATAAACTCAATTAATTATACACGATTTTTCTAAATGGAAAATTGGTGTCAGGCCACGGCTGAGCATATGTTATGCTGTATGCAGTCCTTATTTGTTATTTCACCTTCTAGTTATGGGGATTTTACCTTTTAAGTTTTTTTTCCTTATATTGGTCATGTTCTGTGGATGGTTTCCTCTCTTTCACCATTCATTATCCATGAAAATATTTCCCTTATAAATGAATGGTCACACATTGTTGATTTATTATATATTGTTTGCTGTAATATTCATCATTACTGCCAAATTGCCTATGCTTGCAAATAAATTTAATCTGTATTTTTTTGTTTTAGGTGTGTGATATGTATGATGGAGTTTTTAGTAGGGGATAACGTCCGTTATCTTCCTTGCATGCATATATATCATGTTCACTGTATTGATGACTGGCTTATGAGAAGTTTTACATGTCCTTCATGTATGGAACCAGTTGATGCAGCCCTCCTTACCAGCTATGAAACAAGCTGAAATATCTGTGATCAAATTAGTAGTGGAGAGAAATGCGTGTGTTACAGAACAGGGTATCGAGACAAATTTTTAGACTTACAAATTCTTTCCAAATTGAATCACAGTTCTGGTTTATTAGTGGAAACCGTTTTATTACAGTGTTGCATTTGATGTAGTTACACTTTTATTTTCATTTTCATAATGTGCTTTTTTTCCCAACTATGAAGGAAAAATTAGCCGACTTTTGTATTTGGACATAATAAAGAAGCAAGTGAATTGTCTTAAATTCATTATCACTTTGTTTCAAAACATGTTTGAAATAAAGTAAAATATATTTAATGGCAAACTTACAACAAACCTATGTATAAGACACATAATTTGGTATTATTTGATACATTCTTGTAAATATTTATCAAGAAAAAGGTTTAAATAGACTTTCAGTTGTGTATTACATTATGTTGAACAGAGATAATTACTTTTTTTCTTACAAAAACAAGAGTCAATGACACCAAGGTAGGCAATACTAGCATTAACTGAATTAAATACGCATATTAATTAAGTTGTTTGACTTGTTAATATGTTCTTTCATGAATATTTTACTCAAAAACTTGGATTAACTAATATTTACAAATCTTTCTGTAGACTTTTTTTTATTTGACAATACATGGTTATTTAAAAAAAAATATTTAACATAATATATGTCGCTGTTTGCCATTAAAAAACTACAACCATATTTTTAGGTATGAGTGAATGAAGATGTAGTGCTTAATCACCTAAATGAGAATAGAATATGCATATGGACTTTGAATTAAAAAAAGAATATGCGAACTAATAATGTTTTGTTTTACATATGTTTTGCTTTATAAAACATTTGGATTATATAAGTGCAATTCTCAGAGCCTGTTCTTTCTAATTATGACTAAATTACTAAATTATTTTTCTATATGCGCTATTGTTGATAATTAAAAACTACACGTGTCGTGTATGTGAGAGTGTGAATGTTTTATGTAGGCCTAGAAAAAATATTTCTAGGTGAATATTATATACTAGTATTAATTTTAGTACTTAGATTAGTCATCATAAATAGTTTGTGTCTTATTCTGCCTGTGATTGTTCTAAAAAATATGTATAATCTTACTAGGCCAAGAGTGTGTTTCTCTTTTAAAAGTATTGATTTTTAAATTTGAGCCATGGTAGAGTTTTCTAATAAAGTTTATTGTGTCACAACAGAAAACTTTATAACATAAGTTTTCTATTAATTTTATATTGTAAAGAATATTTTTACTACAATATAATATAGTATGGAGAAATTAGATATGGATGTATGCTGTAAAGTTTGTTGAGTTTTATTTTAAAAATAATTCTGTTTAACTTTAATAATGGTGTTTCAATCCACTTGTAATTCAACTGCTGTTTCTGATTTCATTATCAAATTTATCATTTTCGTTTATATATATATTTTTTTAATCAATATTTTAGTAACGCATATTCTAGTCAGAATATTTAATCAAAAATTTAGACTTTTAAAAATTTTAGGCATTTTTTAATGATTATTCAGAAACACTGACAAAAACGGAAATGACTTATTCCAACAAATATCTTGAAAGTTTCATTGGTTGAACATCATTAATTCTAGCTTGATCCAATTAAATGTTTATCCTTTGTATGAACGGTTATTGTAAACACTCTAGGCAAATATTTATCTATTCGACTGTGTAAAGTGCAACACACAATATATTGTAAGAAGGATATTTAGATTTGTTGCTTTTATTTGTATTGTTAATCTGAATGGCTTGAAAATTTATTAGGACTAATGTCAGATTTTATACTAGTATAATTAATGGTATAGCCTCAACCAAGATGTGGATAATTGTTAGTTCACTAATACAGTAAAGCAACAATTTAAAACAGAAAATATAAAAGAATATTTTTTCTAGTAGGTGAAAATGTTTTATAATATTTTTTATTGTTGTAAATAGAATTTAGAAACATTTCATGTAAATAATAAACAGAAAAATTTTTGGGTTTTTGTTTTCATAAAATTTAGATAAGACAAAATGTTCGTATTGTTGAACAAAGTGTACTTTCTTTCAAATTATATATCGCACTATTAATTTAGTCAAGGTTATTTTGTATTCGAAAGGTGTTTTTTAATGTGTTTAACATTGTAAATGATTTAATGATTTTTGGTCCAAAGAGAACATTTGTAGTGACTGTATTTAACATTTACATAAATTATAGCTAATAGAGTTGCATTTTGTAATTGGCACTTTTTATAATATAACATTCCTAATTGTACCGCGCGTTCTTTTCTCCTAATCTTTTTTATTATTATTATTATTTGTAGTTTAAATGAAGCCTCAAGATGGGTGATATCAATGTAAAACAATTGTGATAAATATCAAGGGAGAACATTTATTTAGTTTTGTGTTTTACTAATTAATTCAATCATCAATCAATACCCATAGTAATGCTGCTATTTTACTAATACTCTAGTTTTATAAATTCAATTTGATGTTCTTTAACTTGTGTAAAGTTTATTTTTTCCATTTCATAATTATTTCACTACAATTTTATTATGGTAACATGCAACTTATTGTACTTACATATGTTTAAACATTATATATTATATAATTAACTTAATATATATTTATTTATTTATATTTCAAGTTAATTATTAGAGAAATTGTTAGTAATAATGGTGCTAATGTTTATTTTATAGATATTGATAAGACTTCAGTTTTTCATTTTATGAAGACTTCTCCACTACTTACTTCTCCAGAATCATGTTATATTGTGTTATAATTTTTGTTGATTAAACTAAATTTTTTAGATTAAAAAAATAAAATAAAACAGTAATTTTTTGACTCATATAAACCTATTAATAAGATAGTGTAACATAATGTGGAACTTTTTCTATCTCAACCAATATCTTATATAACGATTAATTAATTGAAAGAGGTTACTTGGTCAACCGGACCACGAAATCTAATGGATTTAATAATGTGAAAGCCTTCGAATGAACGAGTGAATACTCGTCATTGGGTTGATTTTGGCTGTGTTGGCTGTGCTCTCAGTGAGTCTCAGACTCCGGCTGATAATAATACTGGCTCTGGCTGAGTTCTGTCCTCTACTTCAGTGACACTCGACAGTCAGATCGGGCTGCTTTTCAACAACAGTTGACGCGTCTAAGCTGCTGCCTTTGACTCTACTATCTAGGTTTAAAAATTAGTTATTATTGTGGGGATCCTTCGGTGGCTGGATAAGACCAAGATCTGAGACCAGACTACCCAAATACAAAGTTATAAGCTCAATTCTATTGCACAAGTTTGAAAATTGCTATGTAGGAAGCGGGGCAGGATGAGAGTCGGATGCTCTAATCATTTGGCCCTCAATTACTGCAAACTTATCCTGTTAGCGATTTTCCAGAATAAATTTAAGCTAGCTTGAGTATGAAACAGACTAATTTTAGGATTGGTATTAATTTTAACAAATTGCAAAATGCTTTTCCCTAAATCATCTGGGGTTTTCAAATCATTCAATTTAGTGCTTATTTTGTTAAAGTAATTTTGTCTATCAAGTTCAATCGTGGCTATGTTCTTTTAATATGAATAATAGAATAAAATAGGGGCATCGGTGGCCACAACGGTTAAGGCGTTGACATGGCCCTCATCACTGTAAGGTAAAGGTCCCGGGTTCTAATCCAGTGGCCCTGCATTTGAACCCGACATACTTACAAATGTTTTTTTTTTTTCAAAAACACCGGCACCCTGAGGGTTTATATGACCACTACTGTTGCGAACCTTCGTAAAAAAAAAAAAAAATAGTCTTGGGTTGTAACAGAAGATAACTAAGTGCCAAAACGCATTTGATAGACCATCCCAGCAAGGAAGGCAAGCAAACTAGATTTTTTTAAAATTAATTAATTAAATTAATTATTTTAGTTTTATTTATTTATTTTATTATTTATGTTTATTATTTATTTATCATTTTAGTTATTTAAGTTTAATTATGTATTTATTTAATTACAGTTAATTTTTTAACTGTAGGAACTGTAGAAAGGATTACTTTTGGCACTGTCGATTTTTCAAATAATAGAATTTAGTTCTTTATCATTAAGGTTGTATTTAGCTTTGTACTGTTTTTAAGCATTTATATCATCCTCGTGAAAATTTCTTCTAGGTTCTGTTTTGTATTTTTAATATTTGCTATTAAACGAAGGTCTGTTAGTTATCACAACCACTAAAAATGGTGAAATGCTGAAATTCATCTACAAACAAAGCCAGCGATGGGTAAACAGACCAAGAAAATCAGTAATGATCAAATTATAGATTTTTTCTGGTCAGTATTGAGAAAATTTTTCCAACTTGTCAAAATTTGGAACCCTTGTAAAATGTGTAAAACGATAGTTTTTTTAGTACATTGTAGAGATGTTTTGGTAATAAATTCCCTGTTGTACCTTTTATGATGACATCATCAGCACCATATGAAAGTAATGAATATAAAAAATTGCATTTTTCAATTTCGTTGGTTTACCATGGCACTCTACAAGGCCTACCTTGAGGTAGTTCAGGTATTCTGAATCTCAACATGTCCAAAAGATCAGTTGCCTAACCTGAGGTTGTAGTAATGTTACCAACTTACACCTCAGCATAGTTGCCTACCTGATGTAGTATCGTTAACAACTCATGCCTGAGCATAATTGCTTTTCTTAGGTTATTGTAATGCAAACAACTTACACCTCAGCATATTTGCCTAATCTGAGGTTGTAGTTTTATATCAACTTACACCTCAGCATAGTTGTCTAACCAGAGGTTGTAGTAATGATAACAACTTAACCTCATCATAAGTTGCCTAACCCCAGTTTGTAGTAATGTTACTAACCTCAGCATAATTGCCTATCTGAGGATGTAGAAATGTTACCAACTTAACACCTTAACAGAGTTGCTTATTAATATAATTTTAAAACAAAAATCCACTGCAATTAAAGTTCATTGTAAACTAGCGAATGTAATGGAAAATTTCTAATACTACACTATGCTTTTAATTTAGTGACACTCCATCACAAACCTCCATATATTTTTATTTAATTTATATACTATTGTTATTTATTGAAAAATAATGAAATAATCAATCAAAATGTACCACATTAGTGCATTTCTGAGGCCTAATGAAATTAAAATTAAAAACTCTCTAAATACCTTATGGAAAATTAAGGTCTAGTCTGTTTTTTCGATTTCCTGAAATGTATAGAAATCTAGATTTGTCACTTTAACATTGTATCGATGACATTAGCAAAGTGTATTTTATTTGAGCTATCAACTCAGGGTGCTTGTGGTTTGCAATAAACTAATTATCATCATAATTTTGTTTAATCTGACATTCTTATTAACACAGCTATTACCTATATCTAAAAATTAATACTTTACTGACATGAATGATTCAGTTTAATAATAACAAAAGTTATTTTTGAACAGTACATGACAAATCGGTTAACTTTTTATTAGCACTTTTACAAACAACAGAAACAACTTGAACCTGGGGAAATGTTTATTGCATATGAAGTACATTTCAGTATTTCTTTTAAAACTACAACAATAAAGCTTACTATACTAACATCTCAATTGAAAATGACGCAATAACAGTGATTTTTTTAATTTTTCCTTTTTTTTATAAATGCTTAAGTATATAACTTAATGTGGATTTACAATACTAAGAAAAATATATCTTTATAATCCAAAATTGAATTATGTAATTGAATAGTCAAAAATACAATGTTGAAATAATACCATTAAAAAATTTTTTCCCTCAAACTTCAAAACATTAAAAATATGTTTCTCTCAGTAATTACCTAAAATATAACTATAATTCTTCTTCTCTATTTGTTTCCAACAATATTCATATGTGCCTAATTTTTTATTTGTTTTTTTATTTCATTTTTATTTTTTATTTTATTTTATTTTTTGTAAATAAAGCTGTTCACCACATAAGTCTATTCTTAAGTATGTATAAAACGACATACGAAATAAACATTTACATAAAATTTCTTTATTATTATTTTATTATAACTACTTCATAGGATGATATCCAAAGTGTCTGCTAATTATATTTAACGATTAATTATATTTGAATAATTCCCCTTAAGTCTTGTCTCATGTATGGAAGAGACTGACTGTTTACAAAATATATTGTTTGTTTTTTGTTTTTTTTTTTGGTTTTTTAACAACAAAAAAACTTTTCTGTTATCTTTTTATGATCAACAAAATATCAATTAACAAGCATTATTAAATAAATTAACAACATGAGATTTCAGCATGTACCATGTATATTGACAAGAAGATTAACATACATAGTTCCACAAGTCCATACATTTATCACTAATTTATGCTATAATAACACAGTAGATTTTTACATCCTCTACATAGCTGAAAAAATTAAAGCTTTTGTTGCTTCTCCGAAGTCAAATAGCAGAATGCTAATGTTGTTAAAACACTATGTTTTTTGTTTGTTTTTTTTTTTCTTCAGTTCCTAAACAACTTTTCCTAAGCCATATACGTGTGGGGCATTTTAAAAATGTATTACTTGAAGTTTCTTAATAATAAGTACGTCATAACAGGAACTCTTGTATGTGTATACATATTTATGCAAAATGTATATTTATATTTACACACACAAGGAAAAATATGTTCTGATATATTCATCGACATCTCTCACATTGATTCAGTTTAAAATACAGAATGTCACTATTCAATTCAAGTCTTTAATCTACTATGATTCACAATTGAATATATATCTTTTTTTTTATATATATTTTTTCAATAATTTTTTTTTTTTTTTTTTTTTTTTTTTTATAAAAGAAAATAATGAATTTAACTTTTACTACGCGTTCAGAGTCTAAACATTTTGATCAGTTACTACGTGCTAATTACAAAGTACACATAGATAAACATTATAAGATTAAACTATTGCAGATATAATCGGTATTATTATGTACAATATATAGAAATTTAACTTCAGTTTGATCATTTGTGCTACCTTTAATGGATATAAACAGTAAATATAATCTAATATGTACATAAGTATTGTGATGCATCACAGTTAAACCAGGTCGATTAAATAATAACCAACAAGTGAAGTTAACAAAACTTTATACACGTACACTATCAAATCTACCAACGTTATTCAAAATTTAAACTAAAGCATTTGGTGCTTAAGACAAAACGGTTACAATTATTATTATTTACAACAAAAAACTTTTTGTTATGTAAAACAGGAATTCATATTCATAAAGCATAATGCACTATCTACTACAACATAAAGAGGTACTTTCTAGTGATTGATGATACTTGGTAGTAATGATACTAAAACATAAATCATACGAATATAAAAGAGAATATTTTTTGTTATTTTTGCCAACATTAAAGATTTTGGGCTTGAATAATGTTACAAACACACACAAGAAGTCTTATTTCGCATAGTAACCATATAAATTGTTTTCACATTATAATAACAATTAACAAAAGGTCTTATGCCTAATTTTTTTAAAAAATTAGCATTAAAGTAAATTTTATTTGTACACATATGCACGTGTGTATATGTGTGTTTGTGTTAATGTGTATGTGTGTGTGTGTGTGTGTGTTTTGTGAGAGAGAGGAGAAATTATTCCATTCATTTTAACAACAACAACAAAAAATCCTCCTAGTATTAAATTCTAAACTTAGATATTTAAAAATCACATAGATTTTGTACCATTTCAAGCAAAAGTTATCTGTACAAGAAGCTAACTTTTTTTTAATGAAATCAATGATCGACTGCAATTCAAGATTTTTGCATTTTTTTTCATTTTTCTTAATTGTGGTCCAGCATAGACACAATACCATAATTATTTTTTACAATGTTCCCATTAAAAAAATATATCTAATAAATTATTCGTTAAAATAAATTTATTAATGTATAAACAAATGGTATGTACAAAAATAACAATTATATATTCAATATTGGTTACCAATAATAGTTAAATATATTTTTTATTTTTTTTATTCATTTTTTAGAGTAATCTATTTGACGAGTCTCTTTTGGTAATGTAGAATAAAACTATGTCTCAATCGCATTTTTATGATGAAAATTAAACTGAGCTGATTGAATATTTTGAACACAGCCTGGAAGACCAATATTCGTCATTGTTTATGATTGTTGTACTATTTACCTAAATTTGTCAGAAGACCCTAAAGTCAATTTAATATAAAAATACCCTATCAGTAAAATCACTTGTTTATATTGAAAATTATGATATTTTGAACAATTAAAATACAAAATTTAATCTTGTGATCTAATAGTGAATACTGACTAATAAGTTATATGTATAAAAGTCATTTAATTCAATCTATCAACAAATTATGCAATTATTCATTCAGCCATCCATTGGATATGTAATTCGATTAAATGAAATGACCAACATTAACTCATAAAGTTATCAACAAAAAAACAAGAGTTTACAATTTTGGAATGAAATGCAGTTATTTTATTATACATTGCTCTTAGTTGATACACAATGTGTAGAATCGCATGGCTCAAAAAAAAAAAAAAAAAGTTAAATCATTAATGCAAATAACTGGAAAAAAATCGATAAGGATCTTGTTAGCTGGTGAATCAAACAAATAATAAATTGGCTGAATTATGTATTGTAATTTTTAAAGATACACTTCTCTTACATATGCAGACATGAAGCAATATTGAAACTAAAATAAAGGCTTTCAATAACCAGCAGAATATAGTTAGAAGCCGATCAAAACAAACACATTTCATATAATCTTTAAAAATTGATGATAATTAAATTATCGACTAAATCAGAGTGTATGTAAATATAAATCAAGTAAACGAAACATTTACGATTGGGGGAGGGGGGAGGGGCAATCTTTTACTTCCTGCTGCAGTTGTAACAGATTACGAATATGTCGTATTTATGTCATATTTCACTTTTCAATGTCCATTATTCTTAAAGCCTCCATATTAACCCGTTTTGGCTGCCTATTTTTATTTATTTATTTACTTTATTTATTTTTTTGTGTGTGTCAACTGTTAAACTTGGCAAACTTAGATAAAAATTTACATCGTGAGTAAAATGGAACATATTTTTCTCTTATGCCTAGCGATTGAGAAATGTTTTTTTTTTTTTTCAGTTTTAATTGATTTTACCATTATATCTTTTATTTCTAATTTAAACAAGAAACTGGAATGTAAAAAATGTAATTTATTGCAACAATAAATTACATGAAAATTTACCAAATTTTTATTTTGCAATTAAGAAATATAATCATTGAATGTTGTTTATAAACAAAGAAGCAAAATTAATTAATTTTATTACTCATATTACCTTATACACCTATTAATTGACTAATAAATTTAACTGTCTCAAAATCAACATTAAATAAATACATTATCAAATAAATAACTCGTAGGCCAGCTATCTTGAACAAGTTAAATTTTATTGACTAGATTGCACTTTCATAAAATACACACATTTAAACAAAGGAAGCAATAAGTTTGTATTTTGTTATTTTTTCCTAATTTCTTCTATGATAAATCATGACAAACACACTGAATAAGATTAGACCACATTTTTTTTTATTTTTGTCGATAATATACTAATGTGATTCATTTGTTAGAAGACTGCTATCACGTTGAATGTACATCAATAGCAAATAATGCTTTTTTTTTCAAAATTTTAGTTTTATTGTTCTCACTACCACAACTAGTTAGTTATACATTATGCATAATATATATTTATACACATTTTTTGTGTGCATTAACTGACTTTAATATACTATTAAAATTATACTTTTTAAATTGCACAATAAAACAAACATCAAAATATTTGATAATTAATAAACCTAAATAAGCCTAACTTTTACTAAATACAAACAACAAACATTATACAAACATAACAGCAATAACATATTTATACAACATATATTTGGATAATCTCTGGTATAACGGATTACAAATGGAACCAAACAGCAATGATAAATACAGCAACAATACTTTCATTCTAACAATTTAAGACCAAAATATCCACACATTCCGTTACTAAAAAAAAAATAAAATAATAATAATAAATAAATAAATAATCATTAATCAAAATTAAGTACCAAGTGTTAAATATATTTTTAAAATTTCCTGCTTAAATAAATATTAACAAATTAAATTCAGTGACTGACATAATTACTGATAAAAAACTTACATCACATACTTTTTTCTTTTATAAAATATATACAAACACACACAAGCACAAATAATACAAAATAGTTATCAAACAGGGTAACGAGTTAAATGAAACTTGAAACTTAGACCCGCCAGCATCCTTACCATTGTTGTTTAAATTAAAGAAGTGAATGGTGGAAAAATAAGTTTGCCAAACACAAATAACAAACGCGATAAATCTAAAAACGAAACTTTTTTAATAAGTTAAACATTATTCACATTGTATGAATGTCATAACATTGTACATTACGTAAATTTATGAACAAAAATTTTTTTTAAACCTTTGAGACAATTTGATTAAATCGACTATGCAGACTATGAAAAAAGCTCTGTTATAAAGCTGAATTGTGCAGATTTGGCAAAAAATTACATATATTTTATTTATTTTTTTATTTTTTATTTTACGCAATATTAGTTCAGCAAATTTAACTAACATCATCTAAGAGAAAATACTACTAATATTTATTTTTGCGTGTATTACTAAAAGCAGATCCCACTAGTAGATAATAAAATAAAAATCCTGTTTTTTTTCTGTATATTTATTATCTAAGTTTTTTTTAAACAGTAATCCAATTAAAAGTTAAATTTTGATATTACTGTCATAAAAACAGGTTTTATTATTTCAATTAAATGTGTGCACATGACTGAATTTTTAAAAATATTTATTTTTTATTTTTTTGGGCATAAGGTTGTTTGAAAAAAACTTGATTTTAAAGGCATGGCCCTTTGAAGACTGATAAATGTGTGTGTGTGTTTGCTCTTGACATAAAACACAATTACATTTATCTGTGGCAAAAAATATACCTATAAAATAAAAATGTAATTGTATATTATGTAAGCAACTTTATATATCATATACGTATATACATATAAGGCTGACACAATAAAAAGTAGGCCTTGACAGATATCTCTTTTACACATTTCTTTTTTCTCTCTCACACCTTACGCACATACAATAAAATTCTCACTTTTTTTATCTTCCTTACACTCAGTATTCATTTTCTCCCTCTGTCTCACACACACATTCACACACGGAATTCTCACTCCGTCTTTAACTCACCACATACTCAGTCAATCACTCTCTGAAACATTACTAACCAAATGTCAGACATTAAAATCAAATTCTATTTATAAACAACAAGGAACACATCTAAAAATAAACTCTACAAATTCCATTTCTGAAGAACAATGGTGATTTCACCAATTTAAAGACTGAATAAAATGTTTTGTGCCTACAGTGATGATAGCTTATTAGGTACAATAACTATAAATACTTTCTTTTTGTAACAATTCTCTCTCAATTAATGCTGTACTCCAACTTCGAAAATACCACAAATCAGAGTAAAGTTTCTGAAAAAAATTAAAAAACTATATTACACTTTATTTGAAGATATTTTGTTTATTGAAGTTAATAATGTATTACACAAATATGTATTTAATGTATGTGAAAAAATTAAATAGGCCTGTTTTATTTCAAACTAATGATGGTATATCATTCAGTAAATTTGTTTTAGATGGTTTGTTAAAAAAAAAATAAAGGCAAACGTTCTGCAGTGTTAATTTTTTAATTATTACCTGTCCAAATTTACTAACTTCCATCCAAAAAATTTCCCTTGTCCCATGAGCCCTGACATACAAATGGTACTTGAGCAGGTGGGTCAAATGTTGGGCCCCCCGGGTTCTTTCTCACATAGTCTATATGTGTGTATTAATCATTTTATTAATGATGAATGTAATATATTTAAATTCAAACAAAAATTTATATTTATGGGGTCTAGTTTGCGTAGGTTTTTATAGCCTTATTTATATAACCCGGTGTTATTAGTACTATTTATTTATTTGCCAGTCAGTGCTTTGAAAAATGAGTTCCCTCCAGTATGGTCCTGGGTGACCACGACTATCTTCTCCCATTTCAGATTCAACTCCGGATTAATTATTACCCTTTGGTCACCTACTATGCCAAGATGGCATCTAAAACTTTTTACAAGGCGACAAAATCACTTAAATGTGATATTTATTTGTACAGTCATTAGCGTATAAAGCGATCGAACTGGCTTCAAAACAGAGGATGAAACCCTGAGGGACGCCCAAATAGGCCTTAACGGTGTGGGAATGTAGAACATCAAATTTCACTACAGCAGATCTCCCTGACACACCGATTGTAGGGATTGTAGTCAACTAAGAAGTGGATCATATAATCCCAGGGCTTTCGGTTTGTCCATAAGTAAGCTAATATGTACCTTGTCAAAAGGCAGGTCTGAGGAGTGAAGTAATATGTACCTCAGAAGCCATTTCCAATAAATTAAGGAGTTTTTGTATAAAATAAGATTAGTTACCATCAATCCCATTTTCAAACCCATATTGTTCTTTAATAAGTAAAAATTACCCTTGCCAGGGTACCAGGGCACACAAGAGGCAATGACGAGACTGATAAATTGGCAAAGGAGAGTTTGAGGAGGATATCTATTGGCCCTGAACACTTTGTCACATACCAAACTGCCAAAAGGTGGATCCATCGGACAATGGTTTAAAAATAAGTCTTCCTGTTCAATGGGAATGTAGCCCAGGAAGCATCGGAAATGTTCATCCAAGGACCATTGTAGAAACTAACAGCAGAAAATCTAGGATGTATTAGGACTAGAATAATAGTTGGACTGCTAACTAGACACCGAAGACTCCGCAGGCATTTAGACTCAAACCCTATGCAGGTATTGTCAGGACAAAGACATGACATGGACATTTCTCTGTTGGTGCGAAGGGATATGAAGGCTGAGATTCCTACTCCTGGGAGAGGAAAAGCCTGAAAGATACACTAGGGAATCCTTGAAAAAGCTTTGGGGTCTAGAAACAAAATAACGAACGAGATGCACAATAGACCAATACTGATTGCTGACCCCTTCTATAATCTAATCTAATCTTTAACAAGTACATTTGGGGACCACGGTAGCCGAGTGGTTAGCATGAGAGACTCTCACGCCGCGGTCGTGGGTTCGATTCCCACCGTCGCCTCTGGCCCTTTTTTCACAATACCCCCCCCAAAAATTTGAACACACATATACGAATAGTCACATGNTTGAAAAAAAAAAAAAAAAAAAAACCAAGTACATTTCTAAATGAAAATGTGATAGTATCTGAGACTATAGAGTCCAGAACTTTGTATATTATTGAGTACAAACTGATCGGCCCATAATTTTCAATTTTGGACTTTTCTCATTTTTTTTTTTTTTTGCATTATAAAAAAAGTTTTACATTTATTGGGAAATATAATAAATTGAAGGGATTGTGTGAAAAGTAAGGAAATGATATTGAGTGAGCTATAATTCTTAACATTCAGGGAAATATCTCATTTACGCTGCTGATGACAGCTCAATAAGCGCGAAATAATAATAAAAAATTTAACACCATGGAACACTTGAGTTTAATTTTTACAGCAGCCATCTAAATTATAAAATCCATAGAAGGTACACTAGGATATAACCAGAGAAGATAGGATTTTTTTTAAAATCACAAATTTATATTTCATATTTAATTAAAATTATCGCTTAAGATTTTTTTCTAATAAATATTACATATACTAACCTAGTTTTTGTCATTATAATTGTACTTGGCAGGATTATAATCAGGATTTATGAAAGAAAATCCTCTAAATTCCTCTTGGTTTATGGATCTTACAACGTCTCCGTTGATAGGCGTCAGTACAGGGTCTTCTTTTGTAAATTCAGCATCAAAATTTAGCGCATCCTTCTTACTTTTCTGTAATAGAAGACACACATTTTTAAACACAATAATTAAATTTTAAAAATCTATAATTTATATCAATGAAAATATATAACTAACTATTTTCGGCTTAAATGGTGGTTTTAGTCTTCGAGCTTCTAAAGCATCCCAGTCCATTTCTTTAAAAAATGCATGCGTTCTGATTGCTAGTTCTCCTCCTTGGATGCTGACACATCCCAGTCTTTTACTCGGATTCTTTGTCATAAACTGTAAATAAAGAGACCAATTGTATTATGTTTGTAACATACATACTTACTAAACTACTGAATAGCCCTATAATTTAAATATTTAACACAATGTTGCATTATTTAATTAATCATTTAAGCAAGTAAAATGTTCTTTCATTAGCAAAATATAAAATACACTCTTGTCAATATATAAATAAATAAATGTTTGAAAATATCCAATATAATACAATACAGTTTACAGTGAAAGTTTTAAATTTTGATTATCATGATGATTTATATGTGCAAGAACTAAATTTTTTCCTGTACATGTGTGTAAAGTTTGTTAAGTCTTGAAGACGGTGCATTTTTGAAAATAAGGGAAAGCAGATTGAATTCAACAGGAACCAATAAGTAAATATGATAGGCTGAATCCCATATCTGAGGGGAAAATTGTTTAAGTTTTATTATAATGTTACAACAGTATAAGTAACTTTGTTATTTTTATGAATTTTATATCATAAAATTGTAAGAGGGGAGAAGGAATCCAGTAATTAAACCTACACAGCACTTCAACTTTTTCTACTATGGAGGCTAATCACGAGGCCGATGGGTGTTTAATTTAGTTTTCAGAGGCATCAGTATCAATTTCTTGTGGTTTTGATGACAAATGGGATTTGAAGTCTGTGTGGATAGCAATGTTGGAGAGAGCGTGTGGATAGCAATGTTGGAGAGAGCTTGAGCATTGGTTTGAGGGATTTTGGACTGGAACGACTTGACTCTTCGGTTAATGGAACAGTTGGTTGAATGTCACAGTTCAATTCCATACATCCAGATTGGTTGTAGTAATGATGTAGATGAAACTTTATGGAAGAAGTTTCAATCTATTGTCCAATAGTCTTTTAAATAGTTTATATCGTCAGTTCACTTCTATTCTTTTAAGTTGAGTGTGGGGCTCTAAGTACACTATTGATGTAAAGTCCCAAATAGTGGACAAATTGTTTTCGGGAGAAGAGAGTTGTACTAAAGCAGAAGAGAGGTGATAGGTTTCGTTGAGTCTGATACACCATTTCTTAAACCATTCTTCCAAAATGAAATATGGAATGATGGTCCTGGAAGTTTCTGAAGGCCACCTGGTTATGGGTTTGTTAAAAGGATGGCTGGAAATTCACTATTGAGATTGATAGTTACAGTGTACATTAAATAGATAATGGGACCAAGGATGCTGCCTTGCAGAACTCCCACTTTGATATAATGGCTAGAGAAGGATGTTCCATTCAACCATCCAAGGATTCATACTTGATATATACTTTAAATAACCTATTGTAGTAAGGGTGAGAATTATTGGAAATATACTGTCTTGCCTTATATCATCCTGACTTTCCATCATTTTTTATGCAATCTTCAAATGAAATCGAACTGGGATTATTAAAACCTTATGTTCTGAAGAGTTTGAACAATATTGTATTTTTTTTTTAATTACCCCTTTTAATATTGATACAGCTTCTTTGGAAAGCCACACAGGATATAGGACATCGTCATGCAGTATGGACTCAAAAAGATCGTCTTCATTATCAGCTTCAAAAGGAGGTTGGCCAGCCATCATTTCATACATTAGCACGCCTAACGCCCACCAGTCGACACTTGGCCCATATTCCAGCTCTTGTAAAATCTATAACGAAATGCAATTAATTAATTGGTTCTTTAAAAAATCCTCACATATTAGAAAGCCAAAACACTTCAAAAGAATAATTATTAAATTAATAAGAAACAAATGCTTGTTTTATTGATCCTATTTTTAAAACTTTTGAGAATACAAAAATGTGAAAAAAAAATCTCTCTGAAAATAACATGTAAAACATTTATTTTCATACAAAATATCCCACTGTTTATATTTTAAAACAAGAAAAGATATAATTTGGTCATTATAAAATCATTTTGGCCTGGCTATCTTTGCTATTAATCCTTATATTAAAATCCCATAACACCATCCTGATTCATTAGTCTGGTTTTAGCAGTTTGGCAGCTCCATTCTGCTGTCCAGCAGGGGTTACGAGCAGTTGACCAATATAATCTGCCCTAGAAAATAAGCATAGGTCAGCAGTTTTTGTAGTTTGGCACCCCGGTGTCCTTTTCCAATTAAAAAATATCTTTCAATTAATTATTTTTTTTATGTAAGGTTTTTTATCTCAACCAAAAAACCATAATTAATTAACCAAAAAAGAATAATTAATTGAAAAAAGTAACTTGGTCAATTGACCACTAAAACAAAAATGGATTAAAAAATATCCTTTCACACAATCTCATCCAGAATTCCTTCCTCTCAGATTGCTGGTTCAAGGTGATAATTGGCCCTGAATTTTCAGTCATCAAACCTATAAAGGCTGGTGTTCCCCAAGGTTGTATCCTAGGACCAATCCTTTACATAGTTTACACTGCAGACACACCTACACACGCTGACACCCATATCACAACCTTTGTGAACAACATCTCAATCCTCTCTTCAACCACTGAATCTATCCTTGCAACAAAAGCAATCCAAGATCACTTAGACCTCATTAACAACAGGTGCATTAGGTGGCGCATAAAGCAAAACAAACATAAAAGGCATTCACACTTATAAGACGTACCTAACCACCAGTGCACTTATACAGTAATCTCTTCCATCCAACCAAATCCGTTACCTTGGGTTCTATTTGGACATCAAACTTACTTGGAACACACGTAAAAAAAAAATACAACTCCTGAGATACGGACAACTCAGACGCTTATTTGGACACAATTCCATAGAGAGTATATGCAATAAATTCAATACACAAGACACTAATTAAACCAATTTGAACTTACGAAGTCGAGCTGTGGGGTTCAGCCAAGCCATTCAACATTCAAAGTATCTAATCTTTTCAATCAAAAGTCCTCCATAGTATCCTCAATGCTCCCTTCTACATCTTCTATGTCACCAACCAAACCACTCACAATGACCTAGACATCCCATTCTTGGCAGACATGATTCGAACAAGATTCCACACCAATCCATTAGCTCTAGCCCTCTCTTCAATGTCACATGTTAACAATCGTCCCCGTAAGAACACAATGGCCTCATGACACGCTTAACACAACCCTAAGCCAATAAGCCATCAATCCTAAATACTAAGAGTTCCAGCAATGACCGCTCCTCTCCCCCATCCTTATAGTCTGACAGGTTCCTACCATCATATTGTTAATTGTATAAATTTTGTACAGAAAGCAATAAAAAATAAATAAATCTTTGCTGGGCTATTCTGTCGTTTTGGATGTCATGTTTTGTAATTTTGCCATCTTCAGTGTTGGAACTGTTCCAGTGGGGTTGTTAAATACAGAACAAAAACTGTAATGACCAAATTATATACTTTCTTGTATAAAATATTTTTAAGACCAGGAAGAGACTTAATCAACTACATTTCTACCCTGGTTGTTCAACAATTTTTATTTGATCAGATACCACTGAAAATAATTTCACAGTAGCATAAGTTTTGTAACGTAAGAAAAAATGTATTTAATTACATAATCCATAAAATCATCAGTCTCTTGATTATTAAATTGAAGTTTTCTCACTTATTTATTTCTGATCATTTCTATTATCTAGCTTTATAATATAAGATTTGAATTTATGTACCTCTGGCGCTATATAATCAGGTGTCCCACAAAATGTTGTAGTAGTCGTTCCATCCAAAATACCTTCTTTACACATGCCAAAGTCCGCTAGCTTACAGTGGCCCTCATTGTCAAGCAATATATTATCTAACTTTAGGTCTCTTTAAATTAAAACGAAAAACGTTTTACAAAAATCTTGTTTTAGCAAAAAAAAAAAATCTAAGACATTTACCTGTAAACTACACCATTTCTATGAAGAAATTGCAATGCTAATGTGACCTCTGCTGCATAAAACCTTGCTCTAGGCTCGTCGAATTTACGTGCACGTTGGATTTGAAACATTAAATCGCCACCATTAACATATTCCATGACAAAAAATAATCTCTCCTGAAAATATGAAATTTTATAAATTTACATTATTAAAAGACACAAAACAAGCATATTTTGTGCCTATTTGATTACTTTAGTTTGAAAACAAGAATGGAGTGCGGTTAAAAACGGATGTTTTGCTGCAAGAGCTAATATTCGTTTTTCGGTCATCGTGCAATCCACATCATCATCTTGGATTATAACATCTTTTTTCAATACCTTGAAAAACATAAAATATATTTTTAAAAAAATACTAATTCTGTATGAAGTTAATTCAAACACTACACATACCTTTACAGCATAAACTTCATCAGTCCCTTTTTTCTCTGCAAGCATAACTTTGCCAAAGCTACCTTTGCCAAGTACTTTAATAAAATGAAAATCATCAACCCCAGATTTTTTGAGATCAGTGCGTCCTTAAAAATATAAATTAATGTTTTCATCCCTTCAACACAGGCATTCAGGCCAATCTAACATTAAGCTTCATAAAGTCAATAATATTTTTTTATAGAGGGATAATTTTCAAAAATTCACCTTTCTCTGGTTGATCCAGTCTTTTTGAATCTTCTTTTTGCTGAGGGAAAACAGGTGATGCCTCGTCATCTTGAGGTAAAGGAGATATTCCTGTGACCCCTCTTTCTGAACTTACACCACTACCACATTGTGTACTTAACTGAAACAATTCGTAGATGTTGACATCGAAACATGTGCATTCCAATGCATCGAAACAAAATTGATCCCTTACTTTAGGCCGACTTGGAGAAATTCCCATTGTAGATAATATTTCTGCCATCTGCTTAGTATTGATGCCACAATTATTAGCTACATTTTTTTGACATCTTTTGTGGACATTCATATTACAAACTAAAAGCAATTTTAGTTGATAAAATAAATAATATTAGAACTTAATTATAATAACATAAAATACTGGGAATCTTTTTAAACTGACAACTGTAAACATTTTTCCTATTTTGAAATATACCTTTATAGTTACATAAACAACCATTAGCATAATTTTTAGACGTATTTCTGTTTGTAAAGTAAAGTTATTTTCTTTTGGATGTTTTCAGAGGCCAATCATACAATTTTGTGTTGGTAACACTAACGAAGTGCATGTGTTTACAAATTGCAAGTGTAAAAATCAAAATATGATTAACTTTATTAGTGTGCTGCTAGTTCATAATAAAACTAGGAATTAACGAAACATCGACTGAACAATCATTTTATCAAATTTAAAAACCTCTAAATTTTCCCTTAATAATAATAATCATAATTACTCCATATGAAGGGCACAATGGAAAAACGATGAGGGTCCATTTTTTTTGTCAGAATCGAGATTTCACCGGCATCTGTCGGCTTGTGACATTACCTATTATCCCGCCAAATGTTGCTAAAGAAAACCAATTAGATTCCACTAAAAAGCACAGTGGAAGAACGATGCTTGGTTCAAAATGAGGGTTTAACGGTTTTTGGATCATGAGAATTACTCAGAAAAACTTTAAATGTTATTACAATTATTGAATCAAACTCAAAAAAGAAACTATTTCACCAGTAGTCATGAAACTTCAAATTTATTTTCCACTCAACCCTTCATTTATGTTTAGCCATAATTGACCATACATATTATTTCAATTAATTATTTTTTTTATCTAAGGTCTCGGTTGAGATGAAAAAATTAGTGCCACGAGAAGGATTCGAACCCATGACCTTCGGCTCAATACGCCGCTGCTCTAACCACTTGAGCTATCGTGACTTCCATCCACTCAGACACCAACTCCTCATCTCAAAGTCGCTGAGAATAGAATCCTGTTTACACGACATTTGCAAAATGGCAAAAAGTCAATTATGACCACAAAACATATATGGATTAATAATAATTAAAGGAGTAATCACTTCGCAAAAAAGTTCCCCGTGGCCACTTTATAAGTCACTGAGAATCAAATCCTGATTACACGACATTTGCAAAATAGACTGTCTGAGGGAATAATTTTGGATCAATTTGCCCTAATTTAGCTAGTAGAGCAAAACAAGTTAGTTCGTTAGTAAGTTTGTATTGGGTTGTCCGGAAAATAATGCAGGATTTTNATACAAATGAGTAATCCTGTAAACGTAAACAGAATATTTTATATAGATTTTTTTTAATGAAAACTTAAAATCCTGCATTATTTTCCGGACAACCCAATAGTTTCGTTTTTTTCTGTGTTTTTTTCAGTCGAATAAACAACATCAAATTTTTGAAATAACAACCAAGCTGTCTGTTTATTGCTATGCATTCAGAAAAGTAAAATATCTCTGGCACTTATTTCCAAGGTGGTTTTTCTTTTTATCTTGACTTAAAAAAAGGGTTAAAATGGAACCCATTGGGTTGTAAAATAAATCCATAGATTTGTCAAGAAATTGATTTTATACCTCTTTGGTTTGAAGCGATGTTTATTTGGTCATTATTGTTTACAACACGCTGAAAAGGGATTAGTTATAGTGTTTTTGTTTATCGGCTATGTTTGAGATCTCATATTTTTACAAGTTGTTTTGTTAATTTAAAATATAGAGGAAAAATAGTGAATTTTTGTCAAAAGTTTTTTTTATTACTGCAATGAGTAATAATAAATCTGACTCAGCTAGAGAACTCCACCAACAAGGACCTACCCATTGTGACAAGTCAAAAGAGTGGACGCTGAAGGATGTGGAAGATGATATTGGTGCTGTCACCTTGATTGTGTGACCTATTTTGGTTTGTTTAAGATGGGTCAGTGTAACAATAAATGTTTACGAATACTTTTTCTCTGTTGCTAATTTTAAACTTATGTTGAGGTGAGCGGCCCCAGAACTTTTTCTCTGGTTTATTGTATTTTTTGGAACACTTTCTTCCCTCCTCACAAAAAGTGGTTAAGTGCCTACACTGAATATTCTCCTATTACATAGCGATAAGCACATAGAGGAAAAATATTTATACAATTGTTTTTCCTATGTAAGGAAAATTTAAATAATTCCCAGAACTTGTTTAAATAAATATAATTTAAAATAATAATATACCTTCACACTGAAGTCCTTGTTTTATAAGACCATATAGCAGAGAACCACAATGGTCACAAAATGTAAAACGTTTATAATTATGCATTACAAACCGATGTGGCACATTAACATTAAACCTCTGCGCTTGAACTGCACTTGTCTGCAAATTTATAATAAATCAATGTGTAAAAATTATTGCGAAGATTTGTATAAAGTTGTTTACCTCATCTTTCATCCCTGGACATTTGGTAACTACGGACTGATGGCACCTCTTGTGAACAACACACGTGCACACTGATCAAATCACAAAAAAAAACATGAATGCAATTTATAATTATTTTAACATAATTACGATTAATTGGGTGACATGCTTATAAAAACAAATTATTCTGTTAGGCATATGTATAAAAACTTTTTTCTGTTTTTAGGTTTCATATGTATATACAAGCAACCCATAAAATGTAGAATTTAAATACTGAAATAAAAATAAATAAAAACTATTGCTGTGATGACTAGTGTATTCTGTAATAAGACAATTTTCCTTGTACTTTGTGAAAACAAAATAAATAAATAGATCTTTTAACAAGCAGTTTTTAAATGTTACAAATCAACTTATAAATGTGTTATTGTAACATGGATGTAATCGTGATATTACAGGGTTCTTTCACAAGAAAAACAAAATTTGAGTGAAATAATTGAACATCATTCAATATATAAATGATGCACGAAACTTTCTTGTCCCATCTTTCAGAAGTAATTAATATAAATGGTCAGTTTTGTAGACCTATAAGTTATTTAACTGACTAGAGTTATTAAAAAATTAATTTTTCTTAAAATCTAACCTTATACAGACATAAGTGGATACGTTGTCATCTTGGCAATCCATCTAGAGAAGAGAGGCAGTGGTTATTTCAAGTACGAATAACATCTGACCTCTCAATAATACTCTAATGGTTAAATAAATTCACATTAGCAACTTTTATTGTTAGATGTGTACAACTGACTTTCAAAGTTCAAAGTTACTGGCAGCTTTTTTTTCTTTTTCGTTAAACTATATATGAAAGATAAATCTGAAAGTAGAACTAGCGATTTACTATATATTCACAGATACTTAAAATATTCATTGTCATCTCTTAACAATTAAAACGACAATTGAGTTTTGATACTATTTTTCAATGAGTTTCTAAACCCTTTATGCATCAATCAAATTTGATTATATCCAATGTTATAGAACCTACAATAAAACGAAAATTGCAAATTAAATTAAGCCCCCCCCCCCAAAAAAAAAGCTGTAAACTTTTAGAATAGTATAAAAAGCATAAGCAAAGCGATAGAATTTTGTTAAAAGGGTACTTTAATTTTTTTAAATGTAACACAAACAAAAATTTTGTAATCTATTGCAATAAAACTTCTTTCAATATTGTACGTATTTAACTCACTTTTAATAAAAATGTGTTACAAAGTCATTTACAATTGAATTATTGGATATTACAAGACAAAATACAAAAAGAAAAAAAATAAAGAAAGCAGTTGTAATAAAATGTCCAGAACATACCTTGACATTGATAGCCTTGCTTTCCTAAGCCCCTGCAACATTATTTATCAAATGATTGAAACAGTTACTTTATAAACTGAATACAAATTGTTTATAAAATGTTTTATGATCATATATTATTCATCGTTAATTAAAAAATAATATCTTAGGTTTTAGTTAATCTTTTAAAATTAAAAGTATGAAGAGAACCATTGAACAATTAAATTAATCTCTAAATTTTCAAATTTTCTGTTAAAGCTGCATTTCACAGCATGTTAAATTAACAAATGCACTTTTCTTAAACATTCATTCGATTTTAAAACACAGCTAAAACTATACTAGATTCTAATAAACATTTAATTTTATTCACATAATAAATGTGGTCAATCTGTCAAATTGAAAAGGATACAAAACACAAAAGTTTTTCAGGTTGTCGGTGAACAATTCCCTATAGTAAATCAACCACCCTGTTAAACTACACAACTATTGGTTCATTCTAATAAATAATACTCAGCTTAAATATTATACAAAGACTCATTCTGCAAAAAGTGTTTCTTCAACATATTTGGCACTCAGCATATTTTTGCTATAAACAATACTTGTCATGAATTTAATAAACTAACGCTGGAAATATATGTTTTCTTATATTTCGACCTCAACAGTTTAACTTATGATTTTTCCTTCTCGAAGGTGGGATAATAGGTCATCTCAAAAAAATAACCAGTTTTTCTTTCAATCCACAACTTTTCGGATTTAAAACTACTTTAACCACTGTGTTAACTCATCTGAGGAAGGATTAAAATAAATCCGAAATGTTGAAAGAAAAACTGGTTGTTTTTTTTGAGATGACCTATTATCCCACCTTCGAGAAGGAAAAATCATAAGTTAAACTGTTGAGGTCGAAATATAAGAAAACATATATTTCCAGCGTTAGTTTATTAAATTCATGACAAGTATTGTTTATAGCAAAAATATGCTGAGTGCCAAATATGTTGAAGAAACACTTTTTGCAGAATGAGTCTTTGTATAATATTTAAGCTGAGTATTATTTATTAGAATGAACCAATAGTTGTGTAGTTTAACAGGGTGGTTTCACACTTGGCCTACTTTGGCTCATTTTACTATACGAAATTCATAAAACGCAGTTTTTATGTATCATTAGATTTTTATAGCAAAAACACAGACTTAGTGCAAAGGATTTAAAGAATGAGAGTAAGAACATGCCATACTTGGCCTACTTTGACTTGATTTACTAGACGAAATTCATAAAATGCAGTTTTTATGTATCATTAGATTTTTTTAGCGAAAATATATTTGTTTATTTTTTAAAGACCGATTGCACATGAATACCAGAAAAAAAGTGAGAATATGTCATACTTGGCCAACTTGGCATCTTTTACAAGGCAAAGGAATTCATACAAAGTAGATTTTATGCATTGTTAACTTTTTAAAGCTAAAATATAATATTGTTGAATTTTTTTTTAAAGACTGAATGCAAAGTTGCATTTGTATTGCAATAGTATTCAAGTAAGCAGATTGATCAGTATTTTAAGAAAGTCAATCATTACATTAAAGCAAATAAGACTTTATAGAGAATCGAACGAAGTCAAATAGTGTTCATATATCGCCACGCATATAAAAATGAATAATTTTTTTTAAATTTGTATACCATCTCTATTAATATGATAACCCTAAGTACAAATACAAATTAGTCTTAAGATAAATTGTCGTATGTCCTGAAACAGACGAAGCTCAATAAATAACCCATATCACCAGCGTTCTTTTCATTCCTCCCGAAAAACGTCATGCTTGATGGAAACAATGTAGTGTATTTCCGCCACCTCATCTGCATTCCAATGGTCCTGCCATAATCCTCAAATGTTTCAATCATTTTTATATCAAATATTATAAAATAACAGTTATTACGATAGTTCATTTTGTCCAATAGAAAATAATTTATCTACCTGTTTTCTTTTTCATGTCGATGTATTAAACATGATCATTGCAAGATTTAAAATCATTTGAACTTTAAAACAGAAATACTATTTTCTACATGAAAAACAATTGTATAAATTATTTATAAACCCTCACATTCTCCGTAGTTATGAAAGGAAAAATGTTCGATTTTTTTTTTTAAACTGAAAACAGGATATTAATCAAGTTCTTATTATATAAACATTATAACTTTTTATGTCTCATTAAACTGCTGAAACTTCTTTGACTGCCTTCTGTTTCTTTTGCATCGTTGAACGTTGTTGTTGTTAGGCGAGCAATAGCAAAATTATCTCATCATTAAATGCAATCTCTAAGTTTTCAAGAATCTCAAGCCAAACATTATTAATTTCTTGGATAAAAAATTGTTCCAATATTTTATGGGAAATTGTTTAACCCTTTAATCTGCCTCAATTCGACGGAATATAATTGGAAAATTAATACACAATCCTTACAAATGAGCTAAATAACCAGATGTAAATCTTGCATACTGCGCTTGATTGGAAATTCGTCCATTTTGTCAGAAATAAGGATTAACAAAAATTTAAAATGGAAATAAGGAAAATAAGGTTAAAATAAAATATAAAAAACGTTATATGTAGCAAAATAATAATGGGCTTGAATGCAAATTTTTAAATAAATTATGACCAATGAATATTGCTCTTTAAAAGAGATAATTAATTAATAAAATTAAATTAAAAAGTAGATTCTATTCATTCACATTCTAAATTTAATTATTAAAAAGTTAACTTAAAAAACTTAACTGTGTTAAAAGTACTTAATAGTAGTAGTAAAGCATGTTAATTAAAAAAACAAGGCTTTTACAATCAACAGAAATGAAATACAAAAGAAAATTATAAAACCAAATTTATTGTTTAAAACAAATTAATACAAATAATGTTAGTAATACAAAAATAAAATAAAAACAAATCTTTAAAAAAAATAAATATTAAACTTAACAAAAACAAGGATTTAAAAATAAATAATAAAAAAATGAAATATGAACTTAATAATAAATAACTTAAAAAGGGGAAATGGCATGAAAAATCAGGTCGTCTTCACCTACAGTCTTGATAAATAAAATTTACATGAGATCTCATAAGGAGAGAATGATTTTGCTCTTCTTTACAATGGTGCAGTTATAATATTATTTTCCTATTATCACAGATTATTAATACTATCTTTCCAAACCACAGCAATTAAGTTGAAGAGAATAGTGTTAAAGCAGAATATGGTTAGTGCCAAGATGATCTTGAAATTCCACACCATACATGAATAATAAAATTCAAAACACTTTTCAGTGAGTGCCAGTTGAATTAATGGGAGGTAGACTGACCATATGAACTCTCGGCAATGGGAACAAAATGTCGGTTGGCGGAGAAACGTAGCCATAAATTTGTGACCATTGACTTGGTGGACTCTTCTTCTCATAGCACCCCTCCGACGGTTGAATCCCTGCCTTTCTTTGAACTCCCTCGGTTTGGAATTTGTATGTTCTAAAAATAAAAGGACAAGTTAGAAAACCTATTTATTCGCAGTAAAATAAAAAATTATGGACAAGAAACCTTAGTTTTAGCCTTTGTGATCGATTTGCTTACATTTTTAATTTGTGAACTATTTCCATTCAACATTCTTTAAACAGATTTTATATGAAACTACATAATTAGATAAAGCGAAGCAATAAAAAAAATAAATACCTTGACTTGTCCATTTTAAATCTATCCGTACGTGCAGCTTCCCGTGGGGTTCTAAATCAACCTGAAAATATTACATTGGTCAAATATTTTTAAATACACGCTAATAACAATTCATCATAAAATATAAATAAATGTATTAGTCAAGAAAATCTTGTCTCTTATTTGCCACACTAGCGGTCCAGGGTTCAATTCCGGGCATAGCCCATGGTTTTTTAATTGAGAATATGAAAAAAGTATTGTAAAGTTGTTTGACCCTTGTCCATGACACCCAACGGGTGGGTAGTTGGACGTTAAGCCCTCCTGTCTGACAGGAATTACTTTACTTACTTATAGGGAGAAAGAGGAATACATTTATAGAACACATTCCAGGAAAATGCCAATAAGGCTTTCCATATCTATGATCAACTCAAAACTAATCTTCTGAAGCATATAATACCCTAAAAAAGCCTGGCGAATAGGTGCCTGGTCATGAGGAAATTTTCAGTCAACAAGGCGGCAGATATCCTAGCCAAAGAGGGAGCCTTGGAACAGGACAAAGGCCTGAATCCATTTTGTGGCACAAAATTAATTAATTATGTTAAAACAGAACTATCTTGGGTTAGTAAAGAACACAACAAATAACAAATACTATGAACAACAAACATGAGCCAAGCAAAAAGACTACTCGAAAAAACAACACAATGGGAGAAAGAGGAATATATTATGGGATATAAATAGGACATGCTCTAATAAAATACCAATTAAAAAACAAAATGACTATTAAATGATGATTGATATCGACTATGCCTAGGAGACAAAATCTATGGGCCAAATCTTTAGCCACTGCCCTGCGATAGCCAGGAAAAGTCTACGGTATCTACGAAAGTCATTCTTGGGCAATGTACACCCTAAGAAGAATTTTGTACTTTATTAAAAATATTAAAATCCTCCAAGAAAATCTTAGCGACACAGAAAAAGTTTAAGTGCAATAGAGCGAAAGTCCTCATATCAGTCAATGGATATCCAAGATCTAAAACTTAAGATGAGGGCAAAGAATTTTCTCATCTGTTTTTTCATACATGAAACATTACTGTAAAACATAACATATCAAATGAGATTGCAAACAAACAAACCACAAATGTTTTACTTCCATACAATGTTTTTTTTTTTTTCAAATTACAAACCTAATTATAAAAAAAATTATTTGTGATAACAAGCTAATTAATGGTGCCATTCAGGAGAAAATCATCATCATTTAGTAAAGGTCACTTTCATGAAAAATGCATGTGATGATAAAACTAAGGAAGTGTTCCACAATTTACGAGAATGTACTGACGTCAGATAATTAGAAATGGCACCACTGTTATCATAGTTTTAAGAGGACCGACAGGAGAATTAGACTATCTTAAAACATACAAATTACAGTAAAGACACACAAAAATATTAAAAATATATACTAAAAATTCTAATTAATGCTGAATAAATGATGCGATAGTGGAAATGGTCAAATAAGTATCCCTGGAGATACAAGACAAAATTCACATATTAATTACAAAAGGAACTTTCACCTATTTCACATGTTCGTCGGTTTTACATGTTCCCGATGATCTTACGAATTAATTTCTTCATTGATTGTCCCTTAAGGCTAAGTTTAACTTATTTTTGTATCACCGCTTTGAAGCAGGACAAAATTGCTAGGATTTTTTTTTTAATATTATGTTTAAACAAAATAGTTTTTGCTTGTAAATTGTTCTTAAACTATCATATGAGCGTTGGATTTTTATGTTTTGATGTTTAGATTCTTCTAGATGGATTCTTTATGGCACTGGACTTGGCAATATATCATCGAAGATATAAATTTAAGAATCTCCAGTAAAAAGGAACACTTCAAGAAATTTTTTACAAATATTTCCTAAAAATAAAAAAATAAAAAAGTATTTCTGTAAATGTAACAATTTTTTTGTTGTACGCAAGATATTATTTTCTAGATGATATGACAGCAGTAATCAATCAAAGCTCAATAGTGATTCTAAAAATGCAATAAATAATATGATCAAAAGGAAATAGCAGGGTCAGTGGGTCAGAAGAGTATTACATATCAAGAGCATGGTCGATAGGGTGACCATCAGAGGATCAGAATTTTAGGTGGATCATCCTCACCCGATTAAGAATAAGCCATGCTGACCCATGGACACTATTGGGCCAAAACCTGCGTATTTATGTCCAGCATGCAGAGAAAGGTTGTTCGATGTGTCCCACCAATTGAAGTGAGCAATTCTGTGGTTTCATACAAAGAGTATATACAAATTTGAGAATTGTGCTTGAACACGACAGCGAGATTGAGGATCCCCTATTCTGATTCTTGGAGGAAACAGGCCTGTTCTATTGCATATATTGTAATATTAGTTGTGTATACCAAGTTTACTGTGACACTTTTCGGCCTAAGCCTGTGTATGTGTCCAGCATGTAGACAAAGGTTGAAAAAATTTAAAAAATTATTTTAAAAAACTTTTTTAAAAAATAGTTCCTACTCACAGTAAGTTGTTTTACAATTTTCGGATTTCGAGCTTTTAGCTCATCATCAGGTTCTTACTTTTACAGTTCAGGTCGAGAGATATGGTTGTAGAACTCCTTCAACCTGATGATGAGCTAAAAGCTCGAAATCCGTTTGTTGCAAAACAACTTGCTGTGAGTAGGAACTATTTTTTTAAAAGGATTGAACACTGCATTCACTCTATCATTCACCATTTCTAAGGTTGAATCTGTCACACTTAATTGAAAGGTGTCATTCCTTGGCTCCTTATAGACAGCATGTAGGAATCCCAAAATTGGGTGTGTATTTGGGACTCCTGTTCCAATTTGCTGAAGAAACAGGGATGTTTTATTGTACATAGTACTTTATAGTCTAGTTTTGTGTTTCTTTTTTGTGATGGAACGGTTGATAGAAAAAAGATCCAGTACTCCACCACCCTAATTGAGTGGACGGTATATAAATGGGGAAGAACGTATTTAAGAAAATGAATGCAACTTCAGCAGACCAAGTGGTCATGGATAATGGTAATAATGAAAGGTAGCCCCGTGTTTCTGGAAGGGGCCCTAATACTCAGGTACACAGATCCATATCAAAGATGAAACAGGCGTAGGTGAAAACAAAATCTACTTAAGAATTCGCCACACTTCAACCATTAAATTGTAATCTCAGAATGTTGAACATGCAGTTCAGTCCTTTATAAAAATTTTGTTGTATTTTCCAGTCAAATTTAAATGGTATGGACGGTCAGTTACTTCAGTCTTGCATAGAACAAAATCTACTGAAGATTTCGCCACACTTTAACTCTGAAATTGTAGTCTGAGGATGTTGAACATGCAGTTCGGTTACTAAAGCTTTGCATGGAACAAAATCTACCTAAGATTTCGCCACACTTTAACCCTTGACTATTAGTTGGAGGATGTTGGACATGCAGTTCGGTAATTTATAAAAATTTTGTTGTATTTTCCAGGCAAATTTAAATGGTATCAATGGTCAGTTACTACAGCTTTGCACAGTACAAAATCTATTGAAGATTTCGCCACACTTTAACCCTTAAATATTAGTTGGGGGATGTTGGACGTGCAGTTCGGTAATTTATAAAATTTTTGTTGTATTTTCCAGGCAAATTTAAATGGTATGAACAGTCAGTTACTACAGCTTTGCATGGAACAAAATCTACTTACGATTTTACCACATTTTAACCCTTAAATTATAGTCTCAGGATGTTGAACGTGCAGTTCAGTCCTTTATAAAATTTTTGTTGTATTTTCCGGTCAAATTTAAATGGTATCAACCGCCAGTTACTACAGTTTGCATGGAACAAAACCTATTGAAGATTTCGCCACACTTTAACCCTTAAATATTAGTTGGGGGATGTTGGACATGCAGTTCGGTCCTTTATAAAGTTTTTGTTGTATTTTCCAGTCAAATTTAAATGGTATGAACGGTCAGTTACTTCAGTCTTGCATAGACTGGATATTGAACATGCAGTTCTTCTTTTATAAAGTTTTTGTTGTATTTTCCAGTCAAATTTAAATGGTATGAACGGTCAGTTACTTCAGTCTTGCATAGACCAAATCTACTAAGATTTCACCACACTTAAACCCTTAAATTGTAGTCTGTGGATATTGAACAGGCAGTTCTTCTTTTATAAAGTTTTTGTTGTATTTTCCAGTCAAATTTAAATGGTACCAATGGTCAGTTACTATACAGCTTTGCATGGAACAAAATCTACTTTAGATTTCGCCACACTTTAACCCTTAAATTTGGATGTCTGAGTGGTTTAATTCTCTCTAATCTGCATATTTCCACTGTTTTGGTCTGTCGTGACAGAACAATTCCTTTCACTGTACTTTGGACAAACACATTGGAACACTGTCAAACACAGAGTAAATAAATGAGAAATGGGTAACGTTTAACAGTTTTATTTAATTTATTCGCTGTAAAACCTCAAAATCACACATCGGCAGTTTGTCGCAGAGGCTCGAATCAACGTTCCGTCTTAGGAAACCACATGCAGCTCGCAAATTAGCAAAGCTAATAGAACATGCATGTCAGGACGTTTGCAAAGAACTGGGCCGGAGGGGAATTGAGCAATCATAAACTGAATAATAAATGGAGCATGCACGAAGTGGATTAGCAGTTTTTTATCAACAGGTAGGCATCCAAGTATCAACAAGTGAGGGTTGATTAGGGGAAAAGAGAAGCTAGGGATAAATGTGGAGTTCTCAAGGAATATTTTGATAGAAAGTTAAGATAGAAACACTGGGTGGTGAAACATTTGAGTGGTCTATAGGGTTTTTTTAAGTTAAAAAAATCGATTTGACATTATGAAGGGATCGTGGGTGTGAGATGATGGAAATGTCGGGGAAGGGTTTCTTAGTCTTGAAATACGGATGAAAGGAATGCGTAAGGGTGGAAAACGATGCGTAAGGGTTTTTGGGGCGGTTTCGCCGGCGGCGGTGAAGCGGAATCGGGTCCCGGCCACTCGACTCACCCAGAAATCCGTCGAGTCTGTATCTCTCTGGAGAAGGTCCTGGAATGGGATGGAACAGTTTGCGACGAAGTCGTCCGGAGGGATGGCGGCGTCGTGGAAAACGGTGAGGCCGAGGTTGTCGGCGTTCTGCACGTCGTGGACGAAAGACTCGTTCCAAACGGGGTCGAAAGTCTTCGGTTTCGTCGTCGATCTGTCCAAATGGTTCTCGTCGACGTCTATCGAGACGTAAGGGTCGATCGGTTGGTCTTCCAGTTTCCCGAACGTCATCATGTTGTGCCTCTTTTGAAAATCCGTGGGTCTCAACCCGGAAGCCTCGCATATTTTCACACGCACGGTCCCACTGAACATTTGGCCCTTTTTCTATCCGCGCTACCAGGGATCCCTCTTCTTTCCCTCGACTCGTCCCTCGTCCAGTATCGGCCGTCGGAGGTATCGGCCTTATCACTTGATGATGCACGAACTGGACCGCCTAGGAACACGGGCGTCAACGGCCGACTCGCCCAGACACGGCATTCCTCCGACTACAGCTAGATTCCGAACCCATAGAAGTCGATTTTGATAAAAATTCACTGCACTCTAATTAGCGATCCCAGGATGCCTTTCGAACGTCAGAGGCCTCCCGAATTAAAGATGGCGGGTCGACAACGAAGAGGGAGACGGCTTCGTCGCAGACGCGGTTCACGCCTCGCCGGCCAACGGCTTCGCCTCTTCTTTTAGATCCGATTCGCCCGTCACCGTCCCGTTTCCAACGCCGACCCCGAGCCCGGCTTTAATCTCGCTCCTTGATCTCGCACGTCGCCCGATCGATCGCCCTCTCGTCAACAGCTGATGCGCACCCAGCGCCCGAGCCGCCCAGCCGGCCGACGACAGAAAACTACACCCCAACCCTCCAACCGCCCATTTACGAAATAGACCCACAAATCACTCTAGATAGCACATTACCTTTAGTTTCGAAATTACACCCCTACTCAATATATTACAGCATCATGGTATAAAAAGTCCAGTAAACAGCCATCCTACAAACTAACAACAGAACTACTAAACCTACGACTAAAGATTATTTGTAGATATTGAGATGCGGTCTGGCTGCGATGTGGGCTTAGAAAAACTTTTTCTTTATCGTGCCAGTGTTTCCATCTTTATCGAAATCATTTTCAGGGCCTGGGCTATATAAACATTGTTTAGATTATACAAATACATGTAAGATTTGAAAATAAATTTATAAAATGATGTACACAATATAGAAATTTTAGGTTTAATCAAAGTATTTGTACTCACATAAAGTGTATGTGATCCAAAGCGTAGGTCTGAAGGATATTGGAGCCCTTAACAAAGGTTTTGGACCTGATGAAAAGCCTTAAGTGTAATGAAGAGCTCTATATAATAATGGTCATTGTTCAATAGACCACAAAAAAAAGCTTGGGTCTTGCAAGACCTTTTTTCATAATAAATGTTATAACCAAATACTAAACTATATCAAGGACTACAAAAAGTGGTGATGAGAGATACTAATAAGTGGAGGTTTAGTATTTGCCAAGCACTGCAGCCTTTTTTGTCCTATTAATTATTATTTAGAGATCGTGAGATGCGATCTGGTGTGACGTAGGTTTAGAAAAACATTTTCTTTATCGTGCCTTAGTTGCCTAGTTCCTTAGTTCAGCTTAATTGACTTGATCCTTCTTTTAGGATGAAAAAGGTCAATGTCTATCAATTCTGCACTTATTTCCCCCAGGTCTTCTTGGCACCCTAGTTTATGTCTCCATTGAACGATTGTTTCAAATTAGAGAATGATGTGGGTGGCTGTTTCTTCCTCGTTGTATAATCTGCAAATAGGGTCATCACTGAATATAACCGTGCTGTGCCAGTGTTTTTTTAGACGACAGTGACTAGTAGTCCTATCACTCCCCGAGCTTTACCCTGTCAGACTGTAGCAATTTGTTAGTTTTGTTGAGGGCTCTTTTATCATAAGTTTGCTGTGACTCACATCTCTAGAGTTGGCCCATTTCTTTTGTTTCTTTTTCATCCATTCTGACATGGAGGATTCTGTCTGTTTTTGACATCCCAAATATAGGTTCAGGTATATGGCCTTGCAGATCCTCCTCTGGCCAGTTTGCACTTTCGTTACACAAAATTCCTTATCCTGGCACCCAATATATTAACAGGTTATTATATTTCCCCAGGTTTTGGAGATTTAAGATACATTCACTGACTATTTTTGATGCGATCTTTTTACCTGTTTTGTTCTCTGTCCTTATGAGGACTTTTTGTCAGTGTAAACTCTTTTAAGAATTTCTGAGCCACAAGCATTGAAAGCATGTATTTTAGAATGAAAGAGGTGTACTTCCTAAACAAATTTATTGCTCTTATTTTGGTCTTGAACAGAAAATACCCACTTCCTTCATTTGTTTCGGGTCCATTACTACCATTAATGTGTGTTTTCTTGAACAAGGTTGGGTTTAGAAGAAAAGGGATTGGTCCAGTTTACTACCACCCAGCATGGGATGGTTATGGAGCTAAAGCTCCACTTGGCCCAGTTTACTAATGTGCATCTTCCTGAATAGGGTTGGGTTAATAAGAACAGAGAAAGGATTGTTCCAAATTATGACTACCCAGCATGGGATGGTTAGGGTTGGTTATGGATGGAAGAAAACGGAAAAGATTGGTCCAGAATTACTACCCAGCATAGGCTGGTTATGGATGGTTAGGGAGCTAAAGTTTCTACTTGGTCCAATTTACTAATGTGCATCTTCTTGAATAAGATTGGGTTAATAAGACAATGGAAAGGATTGTTCCAATTTACTACTGCCCAGCATGAGGTGCCTCTCACTCTGAAGTAGAAGTAGTTGAAAACAACTCCCAACACTCCCATTTGCCGATATGCTCTTTTTATTGTCTTTTATTGTGTTATAAACATTATGTAAAATTAATTATTCTTTTTATGAAAGGTCTTGGTGGAAATGAAAAGGTTAGTGCCATGAACAGGATTCGAATTTCATTTCAACCAAGACCTCACATAAAAAGAATAATTAATTGAAAGAAGTAATTTGGTCAATCAGACCACTAAACATGATGGATTATGTAAAATTTAGGTAAAAGTAGCCAAACATTTGTAATCGCTAAAAAGTTTAAGATATTTAAGTATACAATATAAGTAAAATTTTTCTTAGGAAAATTGTTAGATTTAAATTATATATAAAAAAATGAATATTTTTCTATTTTGCCTTTGACCCAAAAATTCTATTGAAGTATAAAAACCCATGACTCAGGTATGAATCAGTGATTTGGAATTTTATAACAGTCAGAAATGGCTGACTATAGGTATAAAAAACACAAGCAAACCTGATTTGTGTTTAAAGATCAGTGTAATGATAAGTTTTGACTAAAACTTGATTTGGTCTATTGTTTAAATCGTCACCTAGTCCTATAGAATGATGCTTGATGATCACTGGCAAAGAACTTGAAAGCACAATGATGGATGCATCCTTTTTGGAAACGATTTAGTTAACACACCCTTAGATAATCGCACTTTTTAAAAGAACTTGTGGAACCAGAGATACACAGGTAGGAGGTGGAAAATATCACATGATTGATATAAAAAAAAAGAAAACATTTTTGTTGAAACTGCTTAAACAAATTCATTTTCACAGATTAATACTATAATAATCGATTATATTTTGAAAGTCAATAATAAAACCTGAAATACTGTGTCTGTTGACTTAAGTCTTGGATTTTGTATTTTGAAAAACAAGTAATAATTAAAATTATAGGTGAATTAACTTTGATACTGCAAACTTTCTCACAAAGTATGTTACTTTTTTCATTTTTGACATAAATCTTCACTGAAAGTTCTTTAGACCCAAAGCAATAAATAATTGGCAAAATGATACAAATAAGAATTTCTATTTTTTTTAGATATACTTAATGAACTATATCTAAAACAAGTCTTACCTATAAAGCTGTAATTCTTTCAGATATAACATATTGCCACATTTGTCAAAAGAATAATGGTTAAATTCTGTGACAAATGTGATTATACGTGCAAGAGTCTTACACACATGAGTCGGCATAAGATGACACATACAGGCGAAAGACCGTTTTCTTGCAAAAAATGCAATTATGTTTGCATCCGTCCTGATCAGCTCGAAACGCATGTAAGGACCCACACAGGAAAGAGGCCTTATCCATGTAAGGAATGCGACTTTGCCTTCCGCACCTCTGGACAGTTGAAAAGGCATTCGTTTTCACACACCAACGTTAAGCCGTATTCGTGTCGCATCTGTACCTTCAAGTGTTCTAGAGCCGACGTCCTCAATTATCATATAATGAAACACAAAGGGGAAAAACCGTTTCATTGCCAACTCTGTGGGCAGTCATTCTACTTACAATCGCATCTAAAGAAACACAACATTATACACAATAAAGAAAGGCCTTTTGAATGCGTCGAATGCGGCTATACCTCTTACACAAGATTTTCGTTAAAGCGTCATATAATAATTCATTCTGGCCAAAGGCCTTATGTATGCGATATTTGTGAATTTTCGTGCAATCAGAAGGGTAATTTGAAGCGACATTTAACAATACATAGCAACAAAAAACAATTCACATGTCACTACTGTGGTCATAAATGCCGCCTTAAAGATATACTCAAAAAACATATTAAAGTACACAATAAAATATGAACATTTAATATATGTATCAAGCACTTCATTATGATGTACTTTTACAATGTAAAATTTAAAAAAGCATAACAATAAAAATGTATTTATTTATTAAAAAATGTTTATCAAATTTTGTAAGTTCTATTAGAAATAATATTAATAATTATGTAAAGACATTAATATTGTCATTATAAGTTCAAACCTTGCCGTTTCCTAATATAATATTGTCTAAAATCAGCTTCTGTAGCTAATTGTTTAATTAGAAACAATTTTTATATGTTATTCGGTGAAAACATGCTGAAAAGATCAATTGTTTTATTTATACAATTAATTAAGGTTTTAAGTCGAGATAAAAAAAGTGTCAGAAGTGGGATTTGAACCCACGACCTTTGGCTTGATACGCCGCTACTCTACCACTTGAGCTATCGTAACTTTGATCCATTTGGGCACAGACTTCCCATCTCAACCCCACCTTTTGAATTTTCCCTCCTTTTTGCCATTTTTCAAATGTCGTGTAATCTATTTGATACTCAGCGACAAATGAAGTGGCCATGAAGAGCTTTAGTGAAGTACACTTCATTTTAATTCAGAAGTTAGTGCCCGAGTGGATCGAAGTCACGATAGCTCAAGTGGTAGAGCAGCGGCGTATCTATCGTGGGTTCGAATCCTGCTTGTGACACTGACTTTTTTATCTCAACTTAAAACCTTAATTAATTGAATGATATTAATTGGTCAAGCGGACCACGAAAAATAGTGAATTTAACGTTTTATTTATTTTGCAAATAGTGATCTTGTTTATTAGCCAGAGGAGACATCATAAGATATGAACAGTACCATCTGCCAGAGGCGAATGAAAACATTAATAAAACATAAAGTAAAGCCAAAAAATAAAATGAAACAAATAATGAAAAATGGAAATCAAATTATTCCTCGTTAAACATTAAATATTTAGTTCTTTAACATAAATATACTTGTATTGTCATGCACGTCTGCAATATTTTACAAGTGTGGTCAGGTCAGAGTTTGGCCCAGTAATTAGTTCATCTCTAGACAGGGAACTGTGGCCTAGGTGGAACATATTTTTTAAATGTGTGGTGATCGTTATTCAATATTTATTCGGAGATCGTGAAATGTGGTCTGGTGTGACAGGTTTTAGAAAAACATTTTCTTTATCATGCCAATGTTTCCATTTTTATTGAGCTCATCTTTATAAACATTGTTTAAATTTTACAATTACATGTAGGATGTGAAAAAAAGGATTTATACAATGCTAGAAAATTTTAGACAAAAAAAATGAATTTATGCAATGCTAGAAAATTTATTTTTTAATTTTTACAATACTTTGATCGAATCTAAAATTTTCTAGCATTGAATAAATTCATTTTTTTCTGTCTAAATTTTTTTAGCATTGTATAAATTCATTTTTTTAAACCAAAATTTTCTAGCATTGTATAAATTCAATTTTTTTAATCTAAAATTTTCTGGCACTATAAATTCATTTTTTTAAATCTAAAATTTTCTAACATTGTATAAATCCTTTTTTTCCACATCCTACATGTAATTGAAAAATTTAAACAATGTTTATAAATCCCAGGCCCTCAATATGATCTCAATAAAGATCGAAATCAGATGATAAAGAAATGTTTTTCTAAAACCTACGTCACACCAGACCGCATCTCACGATCTCCGAATAAATGTTTTTTAAAATTGTGCATTCTGCTAAGAGATGAAACAAGTCCTCTGTGACCTTAGAGTTACATAGAGAGCACTGGACAGAAGCCCCTCCAGCCAGGGGGTGTAATTTAACCAAAGTAGCTCAAACCTCATTTTAAAAACCCACTACAAATCACCCAGATTCAGATGCTGATTAGAACCAGACAATAAATGGCAGTAGGAAACTGTATAATTGAGATCCTTATAAACAAAAAAATGAGTTGTCAGGGCAAGCCTTACAGACGCCTCTTGATGATGTACATTGATCTTTGTAAGAAGAGAATCAAGATTAGGTTTCCATTAAGAGATATTAATATTTAAGTTGGGTGGATTATTTAGAAAAAGAGAATACCAGTGGAAGAATCAAAATGAACTGTTTTATCATCTCAAGAGCAGTACTTGTTGGAAGATTGGAATTAGGGTAACTAAGGACTTTTAGGGAATTCTTAAAGTGAAGCCTCAGTGTAGATACCATCAATAGGTTCGTGGATGTCTCTAAATAGAACATACAGCTAGGGGTTGAGTGGAGACCAAAAAGATTTTTGATTAAAAATTTCAGAAATTTCTCAACTACATCGTACTGTTGATATCCCAAAACTCGGCATGGGTAGAACAGCTCAGACTTACAATAAGCATTAAATATATTAAGTAGCTATCAGTGGGATGTTGTAATTTAAAATTAAGACAGCACAAATTCTGTTAAATCCCATCTTACCTGTAAACGCCACCTGCTTCAAATGATACAAGAAGCACCTAGCGAATAACTCCAAGGCATTTGTAGTGATTTACAATTTCAACAGGTAATCCCTTGTAAGAGAAACTGTCAGTGCGAGTAAGTCTGCCACCCTTTCTAAAACCGACCACCTTAGATTCGCAAGGTTAAGCCACCTTAGATTGGGCACTTCTGCTGAAAATGCGTCCTGTGTTTCACCCCCCATGGCAATAATCTTCATGTTGGCCAGTTATGTAGGGTCTCAATTCTTCTTGGGCAAGACGTGACTAGCCTCAGAAACTTATTCTAGCAGGCAGAGTATAGTTGTAGACATATGGTATATTTAACTGTTCAGGTGTAGGGTCGGAAGCCTAACCGTTTGCCGGAAGTCCTACACTATAAACCGATAGACTGATGGCCATGAGCCAGGTGCAGACCTAAAACAACCTCATCTCATGTTCGTTACTTAAGAGATGTGAAATACACAGGAAAAAAGCGTATAATAAGGTTTCTACTGTACATGTATTTTTCTAATATTATATTGTACAACTATATTATTATTTATAAAGTTGCCTTTGATGCCTTAACCACTTTTAGTTCTTGCTGTTGATTTTTTTTATGATACAAAATAGGATTGTTTGTAAAAAATAAAAAAAGGACGTTTTATAATAATATAAAAATAAGGATAAAGTTTATTTCATACATTTTAATGTAATAGTAAATAACAATATTGTCTTTTTATATTATATATACTTATATATTTTTATATTAATTATACCCAGATTTTTTTCATTTCTTCTAAAAGCGAGCCCATGTACGGTGGTAAGTACACCAAACTGGAATAACACATTAATAGGAAAATACATAAAACAGAGATATCTGGAAATTTGCATTAAGGAAAATGTTTTGTCAAATTGATGTACAAAATTGCAACAATTTGTCCCGATCCTGTTTCCTCTGAAAAAAGTAATGTGGTCGTAAAAGGATACTTAGAAGAAATTTCTCCCAGGGTTCAAAAATGTACGTACAAGTGATTAATTCGTACTGCATATACCACGAATTCAATGTGCTTTTTATAAAACGCAGCATTCTTCCTTATATTTCTTTACGTTTCTAGATAGTCATCTCTATTTATCTGTAAAAGAAAAGACAGTAATTAAAGACAAAACTAAAACAAACATCTTGGTTTTTCATATTCTACGTTCTCCCATAAGACAACAGTGTGTTTGTGTCTATGAATAATTTTACTATTAAAAATGTAGGTATTTTTTCTATAGTAATTATAAATACAATTTTATTTATTTTTTAAGCATCAATTTTGGGGTGCTGCTTAATAGGATTATAATATTTTGATTTTTTGTAGAGTTATTTAGTAAAGAGCTGAAGAAGGAGCAGGCAGAATCACAAAATCAACACCGTGGCAAAATGCTGAACCACGTCTGACAGACCAACCCAGCGAGAGGAAGACCAAAATGATCAGTGACGACCAAATTTCATTCATTCATTCATTCACCAGTTCATCACCACACAGACAACATGGAGAAATGTTGCATAAAAAAGTATTTATAAAGATTGCTACAGTTGTGCTAGTTTTTTTTTTTTTGGCGTTATGAACTATGCATATTAGCCATGTGACAATTCGTATGTGTGTTCAAATTTGGGGGGGGGGTTATTGTGAAAAAAGGCCAGAGGCGACGGTGGGAATTGAACCACGACCGCGGCGTGAGAGTCTCTCATGCTAACCACTCGGCTACCGCGGTCCCCAGTTGTGCTAGTTAATAAAATATCAATCTTCTAATAATAATCATGTAAAAATTTTACTACACAGTTGTGCAAATTGTATTCAATCTATTGGTTTTATTTATTTTTAAATATTCAACTCAAACTCATCTTATAAAGTATATCATAATTAATTACTATAAAGAGAGCTCCCAGATCTGGTAACACCTACATCTACAATTCTATCCCTAGAACCAAATACTCCCCACACCAATGGAAATTATACATTCATCTGGATGTTTCCAAAGCCTAAAAAACTTCATCATCTTACTGTTCAATTAGTCTATTGTCTATAACAGGCAAAATCTTAGAAAAAACTACTTAAACATATTCCCCCATGCTTCATCTCTGCAACCTTATTCCTGGCCAGTTGTTTGGGTTCTCTCCACTATTTAGCAGTGCCATCGTGTTTTAGACATCAACGCTGCTGATCTTGAGTGAAAGGAGTACTGCTATGGTATTCCAAGATATGAAGTAGCCTTCGATCGTTTATAGCACTCGGGGATACTCTGGAGCTTAAGAGAGTTCTCCCTTTTACCTACTACCTTTCTTAAAATCCTGCTTAACTGATTGATTGGCAGGGGTAGAGTAACGGAAATTCATTCGACAGTTTAAATAAAGCATTAAACATACCAAAATTAAAGTTAAATGATAGTCATGGCTAAAACCAAATAATAATTATACAAAATAGCGCTGACTGTAAAAGTATAGCAAAAATTGATAAACCATAGAAAAGCTATGGTAAGATATAAGATATGGTAAAGATCGAAAACAGTACGGGCATGGGATTAAAGGGGCCTAACTTTGAGTACCACCCACATGGCCCTTGGTTTCAAGCTAAACTGCTAGCCATAGATATTTAACTTGCTTCATACTTGGCAGTTTTGTCCAATGCTTTTGGTTTTTTCTCAAGCCATTTTTACAGTTACAACTTAAGCACTCAAGTGCACCTAGATAAGGTTCTGTTCCCGTGGGTTGACTAGTCAGTCAGCTTGTACATTTTCTTTCATGGAACCCATTTTAAAATTATCTTGTTTTGCTGGAGTCATTAAGCTCTTTAGGCCCTCCCAGACAAGTTTGAAGCTAAAAGCATATGCATTTAGAGCCTTTACAGCTGCCTGGCTGTCCAACAGTATGTAAATCTGCACCTTTCACATTTTTCTTTTTAGCTTCTGTGCACAGAGTTGCATTACATACATCTAAGCTTGTAAAATTGTTGGGATTAGTCCAAGGGGTTGATTTGGGTATAGTTCGGCTCTTTTATCTTTACTGCATCCCGCGTTACGCACAATTCCAATTTTGGCCAGGTGGTACGGTATTTCATTGTGTCTAAAACACTGTCTGAATATTGTTGTAAAGAACTTCCTTGGTCTATTAATTTCCAATACTAGTTGCATGTTGGTGTAGTAGTAGCCTTTCATCAGTTTGGGCTGTTTTTGCCAATTTCTTCTACCTATTTGTTTCATATAGGTCTTGATATCATATATGACAATTCAATTTTATCTCAACCAACAACCTTAATTAATTGTAATATATGACAATGTTTGATTTATACCCATTTGGTACTGCTTCTTTTCTGAGGTCTACTTCATTGTTAAATATTGTCATCATGTGTGACCCAGATGAAATGGATTTTGATTCTTTTCCTTAAGGCTTTCTAAAAAATCCATTATTTTGTCTACTGGGGGTTCGGTTAGCAGGGCACTCGCTTGATGGCCAATGACTACGGCTGTCTTCAATTATGACGAGTTCTTGAGTAGGTAGAGCCTATAATCTCAACGCTTTGATTTCGGCCTTCTGTGAATTATTCAGAAATCGTGAGATGCGGTCTGGTGTGATGTAGGTTTCAGAAAAACATTTTCTTTATCATGCCAACGTTTCGATCTTTATTGAGATCATCTTCAGGGCCTGGGATTTACAAACATTGTTTACATTTAACAACTTCTGTGAATATTAAGATATGGAGCTTGATTTTTTTTTCCCATCTGGTTTCCTGGGTCTAATGTGGCTGCACCGACTCCTTTTTCCGACTTTGATCCATCGCGCATTTTACCGCTTCTACTTTGCCTTCCAAGTCTTCTGCATTTTACAGCATGCTTGGTCAAGTTATTTCTGCCTCAAAGACTGGCCCCTTTGAATATCCCGGAAGCTTGTTGCCCAGCACTAGCTGATCCGTGTTCATGTGTACAATAGTCCTTTTACCTTTTGTCGCATAGACTTTTAACTTCCAATGTGTAATTAATAATCACCTTAAGTTGTACTAAACGGGTTTGGAATAAATAAAGAAAAAAAACAGTTAAAAATCATGGCGAGTTGAAAATTTGATTTAGACATTACAAGTCATTAATTCATTACTTTGAAAAATGGCAAAAGGAGGGAAAACTCATAAGGTGGAGTTGAGATGGGGAGTTTATGTCCGAGTGGATTGAGGTCACAATAGCTCAGGTGGTAGAGCAGCGGCGTATCTAACCAAAGGTCGTGGGTTCGAATCCCTCTCGTGCCATTAACTTTTTTTCATCTCAACTAAAAACCTTAATTAATTATAAGTCATGTTTAACTTTAGTCATCTAGGGTTTAAAAAATAATTAAATTAAACAGACTATCATCTCTGTGTTTCTGAGATCTTACTGTTCTTTGTAATTCATCTGAACATAGTTTACAGCTGCTGACAACTGTCCATTCAGTTCAGACATTGGGTCAGTTCCTCCCTGATGATGGCTCAATACCGAACGTGTTGTGTACTTCAACAAGTCTGCGAGTGAAGAAGGACCGAATACCAGTTCAGCGCGAGTTCACCGATTCGCAGACCGACACTCACCATCAACTCTGTCCATTCACTCGACAACAGAATGGCACAAGAATATACTGCATTTAACATTGTTCTGAAGCTGGATGATTTAATTGTCTTTGTTTTAAACCAATTCGAACTTAAATAGATTATTAGTTATATAAATTTGTTCTTTGTTGCAATAAATAGCTTTTAAACAGGTCCGACATAAAAATTTTCCAAATTAGTTATTGACCTTTGTATTATTTAAAAAAAATATATATATATTTTCATTCAGGACGTCGTCAATCGAGAATTCTCACAGTATTGTTTCTCAACCAAAACAAATTTATTTTAAACAACTTGTAAATAATGTCTCTCACCTGTATGGACTAATTCATCGAGGCATATTTTTTATTCAAACGGTTTAGAACTTCTGTCAATCTGGTAGTTACCATTTAACTACAAATTCAATGATGTATTACGCGCAGTGAAGTACTGATGCGAGTTAAAAGCCCAAGGTTCACGCGAGTTGTCATCCAGGTTGGGAGATGATAGGGGGATGGGTCATGGGTGATGACATCATGACAGTCTAATCATCGCTCCATTCTGTCACTATTTTCTTATAATGTGCTGTCATCAGTTTGAACATCGGCTATCCTTTTCTCACCGTTTGAGCTAGACTATTTTCAGCTCAGGCATCAAATAAAGCTGGAAGAAAAAAAAAAACATACAAGAGCAGAGCATATATATCTGCACTTTGCTTGGCTAAATACGCCAAATAGGCAAACAAAAATCAATCATCATTAATTCAGTATCAAAGCAAGAACCAAATGTTGGAATAATTTTAGCTTCAATATTGGACAATTTTCTTCATCAAACCTTCAGAGCAGGTGAATGTGAAAGTCTGGATCTTCTTGAATATATTCCGTTCTCTTCTGCAATATATTTAGAATTAAAGCTATTGTCATTTCTTGACAGAAATGAAAAAAATTTCAGAGCAGAAAGGAAGACTTATAAATGCCCAGGATAATGAACCTGTATTTCGATCGATTCTGATCAACTTGGTCTCTCTATCCTTGCATCCTCATAAGACACCAAAACAGCAAGGATAGATTATATGAATTTTAATCCTTGGTTTATTTCTATAAATACCGTGGACATACTCGCTTTTAGAACTGGTGGTCTGGTCAGTTCCTGACATTTTGGTCTGCCTATACTTGCATCTTTATACAAGTCACAACAGAAATGATCAAACCTCAATTTTATTGCTCGTTGATCTTTTTGAATATATTCTGAGAGTAGAGCCTTGGTACTTGTGCTATACCTAAAATGGCTATAGATTTTACAGATCTTTTACATACATCGCATAGAAACATCATACTAGCAATTTTATATAAACTCCTACACAAGAGGTGTTAAATCTATTGTCATTTCCTGAAAACTACAAATTTTAGAGCATAAAGCAAGACTTATAAATGTTTAACCCGTATTTTATTGAGATGTTTCCTTTGAGGTCTGTGAGGTGATGAACTCGTAGATTGGTCATTTCGGAAAATCTTGGGCTGTCCATCCTTGCATCTTCATATGGCAGACCAAAATAATCAAAAACAATCAAGGTTTATATGAATTTTAGTCTTTGGTTTATTTCCATAAATACCAACTCCAGGACATACTCGCTATTAGAACTGGTGGTCTGGTTGGTTCAGATCGTTTTGGTCTGCCTATCCTTGCATCCTCTTCTGACTGACCAATACAGAGATGATCAAAAATTACCAGATGGCCATTTTACTGCTCGTTGATCTTGCCAAATATATCCTGTGTAGAATTGGTTTTTGTACTCTACCTAAAATATCTGTAGATTTTATAATTCCTTTACGTACATGGCCTAGAAACATTATAATACTAGCAATTTAATGGAAACTCCTACACATGTGGAGTTAAAGCTATTGATACTTTCTGAAAACTATAAATTTTGGCGCATAAAGGAATGCTTAACCCCCTCTTGAGGTCTGTGGGGTAATGAACTCATTCGGTCATTTCTGATAATCTTAGACTGCCTATCCTTGCATCTTCATATGTCAGACCAAAACAGTGAGGATGAGGTAAATGACCGAAATGATTTGAGCTCTTATATCAAATTTAATTCTTGGTTTATTTCCATAAATACCAACTCCTGGACCAAACTCACTTTTAGAACTGGTAGACTAGTCGGTTCTGATCATTTTGATCTACCTATCCTCACATCCTCCTACGACAACCAAAATGATCAGAAATGACCAAACCACATTTTATTGTTAGTTAATCTTTTCAAATATATTCTGTGTGTAGAGCCTTGATTTTTGCTCTGTATTCTTCATCTAGTTGTCATCAGAACATTATCAAACAAGCAATAATGTTGAAATATGATGAAAACTTCTCCATATGTAGGGTTAAAATATTGTAATTTCTAGAAAACTGCAATTTAGGAGAAAGCAATACACATAACATGTGCTTAACCTAAACTTCATTGCTTGTGCAGCTTTTGAAAAATGTTCTGTGTGTACAGCCTTGGTTCTTATATTATAAGGGTAAAGCAGGTATAGATTTGACACACCCTTCACATACTCGGCATAGAAACATTATCATACAAGTGAATTGACAGAAACTTGTAAGTAAAGTACTTAAAAACTTAAATAAAAATAAAATGTTTTTCTGAAACCTACCAGACCGCATCTCACGATTTCTGAATAATCATAGACTAACGATCACGAATCACCACACAGTTTTGGTAGTATTGAGCGGTTGAATGTTGTGGTGATTGATGATTCTGTGACATTTGGAAATATTGGGGATAGGAAATTGGTAACAGGAAACACAATAGACAGAAAAGAATACAAAGAAACTAATTCATGTTCTGTCATGCTTGATAGCACCCTAGTTTTTTAAATGTTTCTTCCCCTGGCGCCAAGCGGTCTCACCTTGGCCGTCTACCTGGTAAAAACATTGTATGGATTATGGTCACTTGACTTAGAAATACGATATAGAAATCATATGGAAAACCTAATACAGTGGCAATATGCACATTATTAGTTGATATTAATTGCAAAAAAAAGGAACTGGACTGAAATAAATTACCTTAAAAAAAATTAATTTAAAAAAATACGCCATCAAAGAAATATAATTGACTAACATGTTTGGGGTTTTATTTCAATCGATCCAAATGACCACAGGTCTTGTGCTTTACATCTTAAAAAAACATTCAACAAACTGATTAAATTCTCAACATTTTAGGCATAATATACAACATTAAAAATTACTACTTACCACAAAATGATTAAATGCAACTAAAAATAAACTCATATACATATTTCTCTATTGAGGGATTTGAAAAGGTTTCTGTTTACCCAAGAAAAACAAAATCCTTGAAAATGATTTTATTAACAATATTTCACAGCGCAGTTTGTTTTTGAACGGTCTCTTGTGCAGTTCATTACAATGCAAATGATGACTAGATTTTTGTCTTACAACAGAAACTCATTCATTATAAAATATCATTCTTCAGAGGACTATAACTAATTATAATTTCCAATAAAAGCATACAAGTTTAATTTATATACATTCAGGATGATCAAAATCAATAAATGATGTAATGTACAATAAATATATCTTACAAATTGGTTGAGCTGTTATCAGCTAACAGTCAGATACTGCTTAAGCAATGACAACAACATTTATCACAACTTTATTTTGCCCATAATAAATGAATTAAGAAAATATACATTTGTATTTCCTTCCTATCTATTATCCTCTTAATATGGTAGTAAATAACTCATTGGAACTCTTGTTTAGTTACTAGAATTAATTTGTCAAACAGTCTCACTTTTCCTTGAGTATGATTAAATTGAACAATTCCTTACCAAATTCTATTTTACAAAGGATTTGTTATAATAGGGCAACTGGTTAGATATATATATGAACTATACATATTTTTATGTAACATAAAATGGGGAAATCAGGCCAACATTCTAAATTTAAAGAGTCGTTGCTACAGTAAAATGATTTTAGTATTTCAGGAAGGTCAGGTCAAATGCCATTAAAACACCATTGGTTTTAAAAATAACATCTATAAATAAAAAAACAAAACGAAAATGCCTCACTTTAATTTAGAACAATTAAATAATTTTTAAAAAAGTGACAGAACAGTTTTTATTTTTAGGACAAAATTAAAGTTATTCAAAATAATGTTATTTAGTATGTTTGAATATTTTTGCTCATTACAAAGTGAGAGAAACAATTGAGGAAATATATCGAATGGTTATTCGTTACACTGGCAACATCAGGGTATGCAAACCATCTGAACAAATAAAAAAATTCGACTTTGCTATTTGTGACCATGAAACGACTTTATGAGCCGTAATGTCCACTGTTGGGTTTAATTTGGGGGGGGGGACTTAAAAGGGTATCAAAAATACAAAAATAAGGACCAAATGCCATTGGACACCTTGACATAATTTAACATAACTTAAAATTTTATTCCATTAAATTATATATTTGTTTATTTATAAAATTTAATTTTACTTCTGTTTTATCCCTATTAATACAATTTATTTGCAATTGTATAAACAGAGGCTGTACTGAGATGGTGAATAATTTCTTAGAAATTCTAACTGATCTCAAGGCTTTTTAATATCATTTTTATTAACCTTGTATTTAAGAAACAATAAATTCGATTTTGCCTCAATTTCTCTTAAATAGAACAAAGAAAACATTGCATTTCTAGATTCATGTTAATTAATTTTTTTTAAAATACAACAGTCCGCAGCATAGATAGCCTTTTTCAATAAAAAATAAACAGTACAAAATACACATAAAAAATTATAACAGCATGATACATAATAAAAAAAAAAATTTTCTTCTGTTCTTGTCAATTTTCAAAACTGGATATAACAAATTGAATAGTGCAACTGCCACCATAAATTTTCTGCTGCAAGTTTTGCTTTCAATTTATATATAAAAAATATAATCAAATTAGAAAATGATACATGAATCCAAAACGCAAAAATATTTGAAGATTTATTAAATTTTGTGTTTGATTATCTACACTCAAATGAAAATTGAGAGAAGTAGAAGTTAAGTAGCAATTTTATAATATAATTCCCTCTAACCTACCAAACCCGTTTAAACAGGGAATATGTTTTTGACAAAATAGTAGTTAAAATAAAAAAAGAAAAGTTAAGTCGATCACTTTATGGCGCACCTATTCTCGTGTCGTCTAGACTAAAATTAAATTCATTCCATATTTATTAAATATTTGATTATACATAGTCTCACCGATGACTGCAAAAGAATAAATCCAAAGATCAGATAGATAAAACTGTCTTAACAACCAACTTATTATATTATCCCTATAATAACTTATATTAACTACTGTTCATACAATAAATTACTATGTACAATATAAACAAATAAAAGAGAGAGAAAAATGTTCAAATTTACATCGTCAATATTTGCACCAGGGAAATATGTAAAATAAGTCTTTAATTTTGTTAAATTTAATATTATACACATATCATTTTTCCTCGTGAATCTAAATAGTATTGAGTTTTAGATTTATATAAAATTGATGAACCGAAAAAAATCAAATTAAAATTAAAAACACTGCATCATATGTAATGCTTTGAAAACACTTACAGAGACAATATTTTTTACTATTCTATTCAATTAGAGTATATAATACTGATAGCAGATATTATTTAAAAAAAAAAATGAGAAAAGTGATTAGTACACATCAGAATAAAAGGGCAATATAAATCACCGCCTGAACGGATTTGTAACTTTTAAAGCAGATCTGAGATTGATGAATGATACCAGAAGAACGGACAACCACAAAAACGAAATTAGTGTTTCCAAAAAACAAATAAAATACATAAAATTATTTTTTCAGGGAGATTCTGATACTCTGCACTCGTGTGGGTTAACAGCCATCTGATTTTAATTTCAATTCTACACACGATAATTATTGTTTGACATTAACAGATTCCTAATTTCCTGTTATTATACACAATCTCAAAAATTTTAACTGGATAATTTTTGTTTTGTCACTTTTTTATGAAATCAATGAATTAGATATTTAAAAAAAAAAAAAAAAAAATTCACCTTATTGCACATGTACATAGTCATTATGATAGAAATTTAATATAATACGCTATGTTGCATGCTCGTAGGATTTATAAAAATAATTTCTGTTTCTCAATGCTGGTTTTAATACAAATGTTTACACTAGACTAGAAACAACGATGTTGGTAAAATGTTTGCCTTTAGATGCCTACAAAATAAAAATAAAACAAAACAATTTAATAGTACTTGGTCTTAAAATTAATATTTTTATATTTTACATACATAATGATTTGTCTTTATCATAAGATAAAGAATGATCGCTTTCATACGCGTGAGAAATTTTAATGGCAAAAATATATTTAAAAAAAAAAAATTAATACAGTAGAACCTACAGCAAAAACGATTGCATGTTACACTATTCCAATCAGCTCATACAATTATAATCAAATAATTAAGAATAATATATTGGTAATATGATTCAAGTTTTAAGTTACCTTATAAAATCTGATTCATTTAATAATGAAATATTTCATCGTGATTAATGTTCGCTAAAAGGTTTCGATATATATTTTGTTTCAGCATTCGTTTGTAGATTTTCAGCGTTTCAATTTTGTCCAATTAAAATTTAAGCACAGACTGTGCTACCTGCAAAAAATCAATAGGTGAAGTGCATTTAATAAACAAATATAACTACAATGACATTGGTTTCTGATAAAAAAGCTAATTTAATTGCTTCACACTAGGACAATAATTTAATCAATAAATCAACTTTTACTTGCTGTTTTCACAGCTAACCTTAAAGAATTTTTCTTTCAACCTAAAAAAAACTACAACCAGAAAATAATGTAGGACAGAACATATGCTGAATAAATTAGAAAAATATTAATCATTAATATTAATTGATAGCAATAATCTGAAAATATCTATTCTACATATTGACACCATCATTAATTAAAAAAAAAGAAGAAGTAAATTTTGAATATATTCTCTTTTGTAGGTTAAGAGAAAAAATTATTTCCCAAAACCCTAACCGATTTGTAAAACTGACTAAACAGATTTTTTTAAATAATGTCTTAAAATATAGTCAAATTTAAGTCCAATTAGCTGGGAAGAAATGAAAATTTAAATTGAACTATTTGTTCAATCCCACAAAATTTCCGAGAGTGATGGCGAATCAATAATATTCAATATTAATCCATATTTGTAGTTATTAGTCATAATTGACCATATTAATTATTTTAAGTAATTATACTTTTTATCTAAGGTCTTGGAAGAGATGGAAAATCTGTCATGAGGAGGATTTGAACTCACGATCTTTGGTTCAATATGCCGCTGCTCTAACCACTTGAGCTACTGTGACTTTGATAAACTCGGACGCCAACTTCACCAATCTCAAGGTGCCAAAGGTCGTGGGTTCGCTTTTAGATGACTTTTTTTTATCTCAACTAAGACCTTAGATAATAGTATAATTAATTAAACTAGTAAATAAAATAATTACTAATCTGGGTTTTCTTTCTTGGTTAACAAAAGGAAAAGCTTTTTTTACGAGGATTGCCGGTGCCAAGAGTTAAGAGTTTATTCTAACAAGTTAATTATTGTTTGACACTGGCAACTCTACGACTCGACGAATGCTTCATTTTTAATAAATTTGTATCTGTAATATTCATGTTATTATGTTATTAATAAATTGTACTGGACTTGGATTTGTTTTGGTTTTAAGCAAATACTCTTACATTAGGAACAAAACAGAAGATGGCTAATAACTTACTTTTCCACTGCTGGCCATGAAAACATGTGCAGTGTTACACAGAAAAATGTGACAAAATATTAATTTGTATTGTTAAATTTTAAATTTCTGTTTTCTGGTACCACAAACTGTTTCTTTGTGGGATTTTTAGACTTGTAAAGTTCAACTAAAAACTTGATTTAAAGAAAGGAAAAAAAGATCCTCTAAAAGTTCCCCTTCCCAACAGTAAACCCTTCAGCCATTCAGTTATTATTTATTAAGCCACACAAAAAGGGACGAAAAGTTAGTAAACACAACAAAACGAAAGGTCTTGTGGGAAAACAAGAATTTCTAATAAATCTGTCAAATTTATGTCATTAATACAAAACCCAAGTTTTCTCATGTTTAAGCCAAGTTAATTGTTAATTGATTTGTTTTTGTGTGACCATTTTTGTGTTACCAGGGAGTGCTCATGGGTTGGCTTGGGTCAGGACACATATCTATGATTCAATGTTTTCTCCTGTAAAGTGGAGAAAATATGCAATTACAGCAGCATTTTCTTACGTAAATATCATGAAACACAAACAGTACTCGATGTTTTAAATAAAATTTGCTAACATAATACTGGCAATTTAATTTGTCATCAGGAGCAAATATATATCTTGTATTTTAAATTTTTTTGTATTAAAAAAAAAATGTTAGCCCTACAAATTTCTACATTATCAGCACAGATATTAATATTAAGCCTTAGCCGAAGGTCGTGGGTTCGAATCCCGCTCGTGACACTGACTTTTTTATCTCAACTTAAAACCTTAATTAATTGAATGTTATTAATTGGTCAAGCGGACCACGAAAAATAGTGAATTTAATTAATATTGAAATTAAATTAATATTAAAATTAAATTAATATTTAAAAAAAACTGATTGTCTTATCTGCTCAAATGATGATTTGGTGGACATAAAAAAGATAAAAATGTCACAGATGACAGAAAAGGGAGTACAGAGGCCAAGCTTATAATGAAAATGGTAAGTTGGTGTCTCGGGTACCCGAAGTCATGATAGCTTGTGGTTAGAGCACTGGAGTTTAGAGTCAGAGGTCGTGGGTTCGAGTCCCACTAATTTTTCATCTCAACCACACTTTCCATAAAAATTATAAATCAATGTAAAGCAAATTAATTTTCATTGTAAGTTGAAATTTTTTCCAGAATTAAAGTGTATAGTGGCTCCGTTCTTCATGGTGATCCAAAAGTTTGAAACGCTTTAACACTAGCGAGTTTATATGGAACATAAATGGAATTCAATGTTTTTTGTTTATTGCTGTCTATCAATCAAGAGTAAAACGTTAAGCATCAAATAAAATATAAATGATAAAAATAAAATTGACTTTTTTAAAAGTTGAATTATTTATTGAAACAACTTTTTACAATCCCAAAAGTTCTTTTGCTTAACGAATTGTACAAGAACAAAAAACTGTTGTTAGACCTACAAATAAAAACATTATCTGTACGGAAATAGAGCAAAAATAATTACAAAGAGAAACACAATGCTTAATTGGCTTATCTGCTCAATTGATTATTTGTTGAAAATACAAAAAGAAAGACGAATTTGTAAGATGTTGGAAGACTAATTTATATGTTGTACAATGTACGCAATTAAATAAATTTAAAGTGACAGAAGTTTTACAATTTGTTATGGATTTGAGTCAAATCCACTATCATTGTCTTTGGAGACTATGCATTTTTAAGCATAGATTTTTCTGTCGTAATTTGTACTTTCTTTTTTCAGCGAGCTGGAACACGCCTTAAAATATAATAACGTAAGTTCAGTTGTTTACATTACAGTTATATCCATTTCATGTCATTAGACAATGTTAGTGGATGTTTCATAATGCTTCTAATAGCAAACAACCGGACCCCGTCCTATTAACTGCCCGTTGTATGTCAACCTATCCCATCTTCACCGGGTCTCTTCTTTCAACAGCAACATCTTCACCAGAACGAATTTCGAAAAAAGAAATTAGTTGTCCAAGAATTTAATATGACAATCACATTATATATTTTCAACTACAATTTGTTAATGAAGCTATGCAATGGACTACCTTTGTTTATTTATTTTTAAATTACATATGTATCTTACATTTTTGTGTTAAATTTTTAAAATTTTTTTTGTTTTTGAGTCATGGCTTGTTGAGAAGATTAAAAACTACCAAGAAAAACCCAACCATATTAACATTCGCACTACCGTCATGGGTCTAGCTGTTTCTCTCTTGTTGGGTCTAGCTCAATTTCACGACCCAGAGAGTTTTTTGTTTGAGTTGTCTATTTTTTAAAAATCTTTTTATAACCCTCCAATAAATTCCTCTATATACTGAATGTAAAATTTTCTTTGAAAATTTTGAACAAAAATCTAATTGTTATGAAAAACCCAACCATATAACATTTGCACTGCCGTCATGGGTCTTTCATGACCCAGAGAGTTTTTTTGTTTGAGTTGTCTATTTTTTAAAAATCTTTTTATCCACCCTCCAATTAATTCCTCTATATACTGAATGTAAAGTAATTTTCTTTGAAAATTTTGAACAAAAATCTAATTGTTATTGCTCCTCCTTGAAAAGCCACAAGCAAGATCCTACACTAAGGAGCCACTGGCAAGGCTATGGAGGTTGATTAACAACCTGAAGATGGCTAATGAATTGGGTAAAAAAGAGAGAGAGAGAGAGAGAGAGAGAGAGAGAGAGAGAGAAAATGGGTCTAAAAAGACCCGCCATGACTGTCCAACCTTCTTTTTTACTAATGGCAGTGGGAATCTTAAAAAATTGTTAAATATCCTATATTGTGAAAGCAAAATAAAATAAAATAAAAAATAAATATTTAATGGTTTTTCACCAGAATGTTAATTATCATGTTCTATGGTTATTTTTATAACTTATTTGATGTATTCACACGAAAAATTTCATTTCAATAAAAAGTGGCATTTGTTTTTTAAAACTATTCATGCTAATCCATGTTTGTTTTAAAGAACATGCAAATCATTTACTTTTTGTCCCCCTAAAATGTTTTAAATATAGAAAAACCATTTTCTCAATACTTGATTGTTCAATACATACCAGTTTCTCGATATCTGATGAAAGCCCTTTTTCTTTCTTCTGCATCAAAATACCATATCGTTATCGCATACCTATAAAAAAAAAAAAAAATGTTTCTTTCTAAGTGCAACACTTTAGAACGAGCTTACCATCTACTAATGTTTCTGATTAACAGCTATATTTTCTAATTATATTCTATTAATAAATGAAGCGTAGAGTATACCTAGTTTTGTAGGCTGGATGAACTTCATGGGGATTTCTACGGTCAGACCAAAAAAATAATATCCTATCAAACAAAGGCTCTATGTCTGCAACTGTATCCTGTCCTTCAAGAAATATCCGCAGAAGTCCACCGTTTTCCTTAACAATCATAGTTACGTTAAATAAAAAATAAAACAATTAAAAATGAAAATAAGTATATTTAATGTCGATTTGGCCATACTCACAGTTACATTCCAGTCTTGATTAAGGTAATATATGGCGGTTATACATCGGCCATCATTATTTGGATTATCTACATGTTTAACGTAATGAGCACCATTACCAGGATAGCACGCTACCATAGCCTAAAAATAAAATTCTCTTAAATTTTCATCCATTCAAGTGAAAAAAATACAAACAAGGAAAGTACACTAACAAAATATTACAATCTCTGTTATCAGTTTACATTATGATATAAATATTGTCAATGTAAAAAATTATTGTTGAACAGCACTCTACAAAATTTCAGGAAGGAAAAAACAAATAAAACCCACTCAAACTTGCCCTACCTGGATTCAACATTAAGTAGGCCAAATACACTATGATTTTTAAATTGGTACATGAAATTGATGCTAGAAAACCTTAGATCATTGAAGGCAGCTGACAAACCAGACATCCGGGCCTAAATCTTTGCATTTCTAACAGATTATATTAAACCAATTGGTTTTCCTCTCTCCATTCTTTACCACCTATCCCTCTATTTCCCACCGTTAAAAACCTTGGGATTGTCCTTGCCTTGGAAGCCCTTTATCTCCTAAATTTTCCAGCCACCCTACCTCCTTTAGTACACCTAAACTCCTAATTTCTCCACTGCATTGATTACGGATGTGTTGTGCATGCGGGACCACTGGGAAGCTTGAAGATAAGCATAAACTTTTAATGAATAGGTATGTTTTATCTTCGGCTCCCCAAGGTGGTCCCACGTGACTGATCTACCTAACTGAAGTAGTCATACCCCTTCCTACCGCAGGCAATACTTCCTTGGCTCCTTTTTCCATCATAATCTCCTCATTCCCCTCCATACATAAATGATCTCCTCAACTTCAGATTCTGCCTCCAACCTATGGAATACAGACAGCTCTTCACAATATCCGCCGAGCCTCATCCCTTTCCACTTTTCAGTCCTGATGCTTTGATTACCTCATGTCCTTTCAGCGTGGTACCGAAGATTCTTAATTGTCCCTTTTTAGTAAAATTTCCATTTTAGAATATTTTTATTTTGTTTGTTTATATATTGGTATAGTCTTATCAAGCCTGAATCCTTGTAAATATGTCAATCATAATTAATTATTCATGGGGACTTAAGGACCTAGAATAAATTTTATTTTTCATAAAAAAATTCCATCAAGCAAGCATCTTTTAAATTTGACACTTTTGGCACAAGTGAATGATAGGAATGATCTTATACAGGAGGGGTATCTAAAAAATTAGATAGGCCTGCAATAGGCATTTTAGCAAATACATTTTTTAATAAATGGATCAGGACAGAACAAAAAAGATGGGCCAATTAACCACCAAGTAACCAGAGCGACTGATAAAAGGTCATATCATTTGAACTATGCTCCCACAATTTCTCTAGTATGTAGGAATTAATTCTTTTTTTACTTACTTCTTGCATTCTAAGGGCTCTTTAAAACGAGGGAGTAAGTTGGTTCAACTAGTTGAACAGACGGGTGCCAAGGAACAGTAGCCATGAAGCAAACGAATGGGAATTGCCCAAACCCATTCACACACAGATTTGTCTGCCTAGGCGGGTGGCCAGCGGCACAAGTGCTCATGTACTTGACTCAACTGGTTGACTCAACACTTAAACACAACTCAGCACTCGTCCTTTACAACAGTCACCGTTGCAAATTTTAATGTAGTAGTTTATTGAGTATGAGTTTCTAATGATATTAGACATGAGGTGTGAGGAGTACAGTGAGAAAATTAAAAGAAAGAGGCAATAGTGTTTTCCCGATTTTGTAACAATGGTGAACTTACACTTTTCTATGATTGTCTCATCTTTTGTTGTCTTTCTCCTTGCAAAAGAGCAAGCACAAGATTTGCTCATGATTTCTTGGGTTCTAACATCGTTCTGACTTCCTGCTGGGAAAAGAAGTTGATTGCACAAGTTGCCTGGTGTGAAATCAGGCAAGAAAAGTCTCCACACGGCAGTCAATTAATTGAGAGCAAACCAGGCAACTTAGTCGAATCAACTATTTTTACAGTGACCAGTGTGTTCATACCAAAAAATTGGCAATTTAAAAAATAATTTTTTGTTGTAGATCTCTTATTGGCGTTTGACACTGTGAATCAAAATGCAATTTTGTTTAAGTTAGGTAGGATTGGTCTATCTCAGAAGTTCGCTGCCATGAGAAAGTCTTTGTATTCGCATACAAGAGCTTGCGTTTGGGTACTTGGTGAAAAGTCAAACTTTTTAAAAATCCATACTGGTGTATAGCAAGGTAGCATTTTATGCCGCTTATTGTTTTCTCTATTTTTTTCCATCAACCATCTAAATAAAATCTGAATTTTACAGGTGTAATATCATTACATGCTTGTACCATTTTTGCAATTGGTCTGTTTTGAAAGCCAGTGGGATTGATGTAAATTTTAGACAATATGGTGCCACTGAAAGAAGTAGAGAGGAGCTCATTCTTTCTCACTCCTTGTTTGTAGTGAATTCTACAAACAAATTTCACACAACCACAAGATTCAAAGTTGATAATTACTCGAATAATGGGACTATGTGAGTTGTCCACTTGCAATTTGGTTATTAGCGATTTTTGTCTGCCAATCACAGAAATGACACAGAAGATGTCATCAAAAGTCACCATTAATCTCAAAATTGTTGGGTACATCCAGAACAGAATTGTTGGCTGACAACCCTTTAAGATACTGTTGCCTTTTTTATAACAGTGTTAACTGCAAGGAGAAAAAAAAGTTACAAAACTGGGAAATAGTTTTCTTTATTTTGTCCTGTCCTCTTCACACCTCAAGCCTCGTATCACGGAACTAATACAGATTTCTTCAATAAACTGTTCCACTTGAAACTTGCAACTGGCATGCAGGATGAATGCAGAGTTGTGTCTTTTGTGTTGTGCCAACCAGTCGAGATGAGAACATGAGCACTTGTGCCTGCTGGCCACCCGCCTAGGCAGACAAGTTGTCTGCGTGTGGTAGGGTTTAGGCAGTTCCCAATCATTTGCTACATGGCTACACTCCTTGACACTAGTTGAACCAACTAACCACCTTGACTGAAAAAAGCCTGTGCCTATGTAAATGATTAAGAACAGCCACATATGCTTTTCTTCAAGTAGATGCTGTTCGACCATCTCTCACTTCACCCTAAAAAGTGTCCAAAATGTGTGTAAAAAATGTTCACCTACTTATGACGGAGAACGGTTAATGTTTCCGTGGATAGCATTAAGGCTTGCCACGGACTTCAAGTGGACTCATCCTCACCGAACAGCAGAACCAAATCCAGCATCTCCGTCAACCACCCACATTGCAACATTTTTTTTTTTTAAATTAGGTTGAGAAGAGGTTAATTAAGAATTATAAAAATCTTTTCCACCACTGCGACCTAAACTACTAATTTTTTGCACGACTAACCTCCGACCTCATTGCTGAAAGAAACGTCTTCTTACTTTAAAGTTATTTCCTTTTTTTTTTGTTCTTCGTATTTAAATTAATTTCCACTTTGTTTCCCTTTTTTGCTTTCCTTATTAATTTATTTTTCGTCCCTTTTTTCATTATGTGAAAAAATTTTGGTCATGGAATCTATATTTAGCCATACATTGGAAAATGCATTTTTCATATAAGAATAAGCACTTTCCTTCGTGCCACTTTGTGCACCTCTTTGGTGTGATAATTACTTTACTGAAATGAATGCACCATAACTAGGCTTCACATTCACAATGGGTATGTGCCGATGTCTCTGGTTCCTCCTGACGGTTGTTTCTGTCTCTGCTCAGACCATCTTTAGGTGAAAGTTAAGAATGCAGTGGGTGGTGTAGAGGTTGCAATACCTCACAAGATGAAACTCCAGCAACCACCATCACCCTGCTGGACGTGGGTAAATTCCTTTCTTGAAAGGGGGGGGAATTGTAGCGTTACTGTACATGATGATTATTCAAAAAGTGTTTTTAATCTAGAATTGACTACTAGTTCTGTTGTTTGTTGTTGTTTCAGGCCCTCCACCTGTACCAATTTCTTTTAATCGTCGTGTTTGCAGCAACAGAGTGATCACGGAAGCTATATCTGGAGGATGGTACATCCATGCCTTAGCCGCCTAACTCAACTTTTCGTAACCCTCCAGATCTATGTGTACATTGATGATTAATTCTGAATATTTTATCTGAGAAGGACTACTTGTTCTGTTGTTTTTATGTGAGTGAGACAATCAAAATTTTGGGTGAGGATGATCTTTCCACGATTCGGTTCCTCTGTGGGCCTATCAACTGTTTTTCCTACGTAAAAGCTTCTCTGCTGATCTGGCCCTCCGTCTTTACTGATTTCTTTTAGCGGTCGTTTTTGCAGTTTCAGAGTGGTCGCAAAAGTTTCTGGAAGAAGGGACATCCATGCCTTAGCTGCATCTTCTGACTTTTTGTAACCCTCCAGATCTATTTGTACATTAATGATTATTCTGAATATTTTATCTAGTATGGAATATTGTTGTGTTATTTATATGAGTGAGACTTAAACAGATTTTTTCTCCTCATGGATGAGATGGTATTCGCAACTGATTATTAAGTGAACCGCCCACAAGGTTTAAAATGTAATAAGTTGGAAATGATAAATGACAAATAAAGACAAGAGACTAATAAATAACAATAAAAAATTGACAGTTTCAAAAATAAAGGATTTTAACAAGGCTTATCAGTTTATTAATTGTAGAAATTCGAACTGTTAACAGAAAATTAAAATTTGCTAGTTTCATATCCAGAATTTTTTCCATAAAAATACAAAAATAAAATGAAATTCAACGCTATTCCCTCGGGTAAACAATCGGTTTTGTGGAAATAGTCATAAATAAAAGTGACAGTGATTAAACACAGTTAGAGGAAAGGGGATAAAACATAACCTGCTCCGTTGGTATCGCACTTATAAATAATAGTACATAGAGCGTAGATTGAATCAATTCAATTTGACATAAATGATTGCAAGGACGCACTTGGCAAGGAGTCGCGTTTCAAAATTGTAGAAATAATGGAAAAAAAATAGATAAATAAACAGAAGTCTTTAAGGTTTATACATTTTCTGTAGGACTATGGGTAGTTCAATATGACGTGAACGTAAACAATTTTTAATTTTTCGTTTTTTTTTTTTAATTTATGATTGTTGTTGAGGCTGTAATCAGTCTATAAGGCTTCAAACCTGAGGTCAGATGCTGGGGTTATTTCAGGCGGTTGGGTATGAAACGTGCATCGCTGGGTTGGAGGGACGGATGGGAATAAAACAGGGGAGAATCGACAATACCTTGGTCCTTCCGTTGATGGTGTAAGATCCCATTTGTCCGTTGTTTGACATGTTGTTTGCCCTCATGACGACTCTGTCCACCTCTTTGATGAGCATGCCTATGTTGGTGCAGAATGACTCGTTGCCGTCAATCCATGTGATCTGGTCGCTCCTGATGGTCTTGTGATCCGCTTTGAGGTTGTTGCTCATGAGCTGTCCATCCTCAAACTTGCCGTTTTTGTGCATTTCTATCACCTCGCGGAGCACGGCCTTGCCGCGGGCGGTGCCTAGGAAGTTGTCGACGACGCAGACACCGTAGGCGTTCATGTGATCGATGACCGTGCGGCAGACGAGGTCTTCGTCGTCTTCGTTGGCCCTGAGCCGTCCGAAACGATCCGCCGTCCGGGACGTGTCCATGGAATGGTTGTCGTTCCTGATCGGCCTGGTGTCCTCGACGCCGGCGGGCCCGCATGACGAGAACAGGTTGCACAGGGTGCCGAAATCGAAATTGGGCATTTCCGTCTTTGCGTTGTTCATGACGGATACGCCTTCCGACTCGACTGTGAGCGACTTCCTCGGGAGCGACTCGTCGGATTTCTCTTTGTTGTCTATGTTTTGGCAGTGGGGTTTGTGGTTTTTCCAGTCCATCGCCTGGTGTTCCCTGCTACAATAATACACGGACGTACACCTCGAACATATCAACAAGAAATTTTTCGCACCGCACTGCTCGCATCGGGCGACAGGCTTCATTTTATGCCCGACATTAACGACGAATGACTGACAGACTGACTCGAGTTTTCCG